TGTTGCTCAGAATCATCATGAGGTGTCATTGTACTGTATCCGTGATCGCTATCGCCACCGGGTGGCTTTCTATAATTCGTGGAAACCCTGTACGGCGAAATAGGCGCTATCCCATCTCTTATCAGAGAATCTAAATTGTTCTTCGACTGATCCAATTCCATAGGCTCTACGTCACCTTCTAGATGTGTCATACGCAGCATGTCGGGCGACGTATGTACATGCAAACACTGATGTTCTACACCAGACTGAACAGATCGAAGTCTGTAACAGAACAGCATTAACCCCAGTAACAAAAGAAACCCCAATATTCCACCAGCTACAGGTCCAACTGATGGCCACTCATGCACTGCAATTTCCTCTGTCGACTGAGAATCTACAAAAAAAATTATACTTTCTGAGAAATCGTTAAAATTACACGTTAGAGATTCGTTCAAAAGAAACACTTACTGTACGTGCCATCGCTAAGCGGCATGTAAAACCCAAGAATACCTCTAAAACATACGGACATGTCGCTGCAAAATGGTGCTTGCAGCGGCGTCTCTCCGTCATTGTCTACATGACACCACTGACAGCCAACAATTCCGAGACACTCGCTCTCTACTTTGAACACCTTACAGTCAATGGACGGACACGTTTTTAAATTAGTAGACTGTATCCAAGACATCTGCGTGTTTCCCCCTTGCTCGTATGGTACTGGGCATGGCTCGAGGTTCATTTCGTTTATAGGGTATTCCGCACAGTTGGAGTAATACAAAGCACATTCGCAGGGGCATTCACACTCGGTTTGTTCCATCCTTTTGCAATTTAAACACGAGCGATCCATCGTGCTGCACGGGCAAAATGCTCTCAATAAATTACAAGTCACGTTGACTACTCCTAGAAACACGTTGGTTCCTGGTATTGCTGCTACTTGATACTTGACACAGTGTTCGCCGTGTACTATGTTTGTAAGGACTTCGTCGAGCGAGGTATTAAACTGATAATATCTTTGCACGGTGCCATCCAAGTAGTTTATACACGCTTTCTTCTTAACGAAAAGCTCGTGATTCAGTATGTCGTTTGCAACCAACAGTTCCTTGTGCGTCAAGTGTTGCTGTTCGATTTTTCCGATCGGTTCTAACAATGCTGGATGCGAGACTAAATAACCTTTGTCGTCCATTAGGAAACATTTTACCGTCGAGTTATTACAGAATGAGAACATCTCTTTCAGAAGCCTCGAAATGAAGCCTAACGCTACGTCCATAGACACGACTGCGATAGCATCGTCCTTTGTGGTTGATTCTGAATTACGATGAACTGTGTGACTCAGAGTAACAACGTATCCGGAACCACCAGCACCTAAATACGGAGGTGTGAAAACTAATTTCCCAGAGTGTTCCAGCGCTCTTCCATACCACATTCTTCTCTTGGGATCAAAACCAGAGTCCAGCATAATTCCTGGATATATTTCCAGCACGCCACTCACCACTCCAACAATGTATCTGTCCAACAATATAAACAATACAATTAAGTAAAAACTCTAGTCTTTCTGTAAGATACGTAGTAAAAAGTGTACCTTCTTATTATAAATTTGTTCAAAGCACTTCCTATGTGCCTGCCTTTGAAGTAACCCAACATTTGAGTCAACATAGCCACGTCTGGCCTGACAGATTGATGTAGACCAGGATTAGCTAATAATCCTGTCAAGTCCTTTAAGTATGCCATGTAGCTCTGCATCGTTACGGCAGTTCCAGTTTCTAATAATTTAAGCTGCTCTATCGGAGACTGAAAGCACCACGGAGAAAGATAGACCACTCCCGTTGCTAAAAAAATACAAACGTATTTCCCTTTGAAATTGTTGAAAGACTTTCAGGAGAGAATCATTGACTTACACAGGGACAAGAGTTTGTTGTGATAAGTACAAAGAATGCTCTTGTCGGCAATGCTGTGCATCAAAAGGTCGAGACGGTGATGCAAGATATTCATTGACAACGTTGGCACCAATTTTGCAACAGGCAATACACTTTCGTTGGTTGCTGACACCAAGCACACTATTAAATCCGTGTATGTCAAATGTTTCCACCGGTACAATTTCTGAAATATAAACACTAAATCAATATGAGTTTGATACGTATTTATAAATACGGTATTTATAAATACCAATGTACCTGTTCTCCTAATTGCGTTTTCACGTTCATTACACCCTCGTACTCTTCGATCATTGTCTTCACGGTTTCAAAACGGATATTCTCCATGTGATGTAAATTAACTTTGAGGGGTTGATCGAACATCGATTCCATTCGCGGGAAATCTTTGTGAATCCAAACTATACCCTTGTTGTCAAATAATATAGCGTATGTATGCATACCAGCGTTGAAATAGATTATATCGTCAAGGAAATTTCGTAATTTAACGTCCAAAGATATTAACGCTTTGTTCGTGATGTGTCCGACAGACAAAGTCATTGTTTTACTATATAAATCAAAATATGGATCGGACAGATAATAGTCTTTTTTATGTTCCTCAGAACATTTTAAATCGGAAAACAACTTTGACACTTCAAAGCCCAGTATATTTTGTGTAGGGAGAGTTAGTACATTGTCACTGTGTTCTTTACTATTTGAATGTGACTCTTGATCTGCAAAAAGGAATTATATTAGCGATATATATTAATTACATTATAAACAATTGCAATTACACGATTAAACTCACCCGAAAGAATTAATATCGTTTTTACATAGCCACTTATTTTTCCCGTGGAGATCATGTTTCTTATTTTCTTCAGGTGTGAAGTGAGTTTAAGCGTGTTTGTCAAATGTATAAACACCACTTCACCCATCGCATGTTGCAGCAATTTGTTAAAGTCAAAATCAATCGTATCGTTTGTCTCTGAAATTTGAGCAAAATATTTTTATAAATGAGACAATACGCAAGTAACGATGAAACAATGAAAAAAAAAAATTGTACCTATTCTTGTTAAACTGTGAATATAACGTGCCAGCTGAAACTTATTGACGTCCGTGGCTTTCAACAAACCATCCTTGCAATGAGTGGTGGTGTTCACAGAAAGGCCAATAACATTAACATAATCCGTGTGTGACAGCATATCGATTATTGTCTCTGCAGTTATCTGAGCCAAAGTGATATCTCCTTCAGACATGAACAAGCCATGCTCGAGTAACAGCAACACATTCTTTCTCGGGCAGTATTGACATAACAGAAGAGGTCCAATGTTATGCCCAGCACTAGAAGGACCACATACAGTCACCGGATACATGAAAGGCAGCAAATGCAAGTTCTTCCACTCCTGGTTTCTCAGATGTAGCGCCAATTCTGAAACACATGAAACATCAGACTTGAGCTCGCACATAAGGCAAACAAACAAACTTGTCTTACCTTGAGCAATTCGAGAGCAAAAGTCAGCCAACCCGTTCGACGTGAGATCCAGTCTGCTCGCAGATCCAGTGTGCTCAAACTGAACCTCGCTTCTTGCCAGAATAGGCTCCACGATGCTATAGCTCTGCCTCAAAAGTTTCGCGTAGGATAGCAACTTGTTGTTCAGCTTATCCACCAGCAGGCTCAGCCTCATGTTCAAGCTGCTCGACACGTTCACGAACTCCATTTCGTCGAGCATCTTCTGAAACGGTTTCAGGCCAAGCTCCGCGTCAGTGATCGAACGAAACTCGCCCGACAGCCGAGCAACGATGTCTCGTAGGCAGGTCCCATTGAGCGGCTCCGCGTTCACCTGCTTGCGCAAAGTCCTGCCAAATTCGCAATTCGCGTTCACGCCGGTGCTCTCGTCGGTCGAACTATGCACGTTGACGAGCACCGTCGCGAGAAATCCCAACTGCAACAGTATCCTGCTCTCGAGGACGATCATCCTGGCTCGGCGTTCACGCGGAGAATCCGGACACGTTGCACGTCGATGACATCGACGGCGATGGAGTTCACTTACGAATCACGATGCACGCGATCAAACGAGGATTAGCTCAATGGGTACGGGCGCGCGAGTGATTCTTGCATTCTGCTGTTCTTCAGGCTCACACCTGCACGCAGATCTGGTAACCTGCAAAAATTCGTCGCGCCGCCATAACGACGCGGGCCACCGCAAGCAAGGTTGACAAGTGCGCAACTGGAAATATTACTTTCCTGGCCGTGTCACTTTCTAAATGAAATCCAACCAGATCCTGTCTTTAGCGTTATGTGAACGCGTCCTGCGGTTTCAGGGGCCCGCGACTGTGTCTCTTCGCCCCTCTCTCCCTTCGGCGCTCTTACCATTATAATTCACCGCCTTTTTCGTGTTTCTGTGCGCAAAACGTAGTGCCAGGTGGAACTAACTTTTGCGCGAATGGATTTGAATCTATCTATTGTGATACGAAATACGTGCAAAAATATTGATTCTCTTATCGATGTATTTTGTATTATTCGAATTCGCTAATTAACAATGTAATATACTGTATACTACGGAATATATAGAATGTAATTAAAGAACTTTCTGACAAATTTTTAGAAAAATTTGACTAAAGTATAGTACAATTTTAACGAAAAAAATTACAATTTATCGCTTATTAACAATCAACGTTCGAAATTTTGACGAAAGATCCTGCGAAAATTCGCTCCAGAAATAATCCAATTAATAACTTGAAATAAACGATTTTATCATTTTCCTTATTTATTATTAACAATTGTTATTACATAGTTGTTTATTTCCTTATTGTCTTATTTATTACTAATAATTATACTATTATTTATATTATTACTTATAAATATTAATATAATTATACTATACTTGTCTGATTTGTTATTAATAATATATTAGTAATTTTTTATTATTTTATTTACTATTTAATCAGTCATAAAAATATATAATTTCGTAGATTTATGTTGATCCAAGTACTGGAGAATTTTTCTTAAACTAAATTTTTCTTAAGGAAATTTTCTCACACTAGCTTTTCAACCTTCACATTTTCGAACACGATGTTCAGTGAATTTTGTTAGTCCGAATATTAAACGATAGGGGAGAGATATTGTTACGGGAATTTCTCCCACAGAGTTGTTTCTCCCAAGATGTTGAAAAGTGAAATGTTCCTACTCGCACGCCAACCTGCTGCGCTTGACGTAAACGAAAGTCGTAAACGGGCTTCGCTTATTATGTTTCACGAACTTGCGTCGTTTGTTTGTCGTTGTATCGGAGATCTTGATGACAATGCACGGCGGTGGAGAGGTCGAAAGTAAAATATAACGCAGCTTGTCTGACAGAGATGGGAAAATTATCGAAAGTTGCGATGCACGAGATTCTTTGTCACAATGTCAGAAGGTAAAAATAAATATCATTACGCGCTGTTTTGTTACTTTCGTACTGTTTGCATGAGTTTTGTAGCAATTCAGAACGCGATTAAGTCATCTTTCTTTTTACTAGAAAGAAGTTACTGCCTCCCAGATTGTTATCTTTCGTAGAATTTTAATTTTCATACGTAAACAATATTATTAGTATTGCATAGTGGACAAAATTTATATTTTCTATCTACAAACTTCATCCAAATTGTGATTACGATGCAACAGTCGAAAATTCATATTTTATTCATAAATCATTTGCCACTTACGTATTTAAATGGCAAATGATAATTTGTGAAAAGGTCGATGCATAAATTTCAAATACCCGATTATAAGTAATAATACATAATTGATATCATTGTATGAATAACGTATATTTTTTTATGCAAATGAGTTGATATATTTATTTCCAACACCACAAAGTATGTTACTTTTTAGTATAACACTCATAAATATTTTCTGCTGTACATTGAAATGATAATTGGAAATTTTTGAAACAGGTTATAGGAAAGAGATGATGCTTGCTTAAATGATTCTTTCCTTATTCATAATGAGGAGCAGACACATTGGACATGGATATAATTAACATAGAGGACGTGGAAGCTGGTGTTCGTCCATCGAAGAATTCGACTTCAATACAATGCAACTGCATTCAATCGAACTCAGTGTGTTACATTCTTGCAACAGTTGCCACTTTGGCACTTTTGGGTGCGATCGTTTTCATCTGCCGGGACTATATCAAAGTGTTGCTTTATTGGATCGAACATCAGAATATATGGATTGTCACTGTAATATTCATCGCGTTGTTCACAGTGGTTTCGTTCCCTATCGTAATTGGTTATTTATTCCTCATCATTGCTAGCGGCTATTTGTTTGGCATATTAAGAGGGATTGTCATGGTTGTCTTGTCTGCCAACTTAGGAATAGCCATAGCACACGTTACCCTTAGCGCGTTATCCTCTAAACTACCTATTGGAGCTCTTTTGCAAAATGACACTGCAAGAGCAATCCTTAGAGTTATAGCTGGACCGCAAGCTTTCAAGGTTGTATTGTTTGCAAGGTTAACTCCTATTCCTTTTGGCTTGCAAAACACCATTTTTGCGGTATGTATTTCCTAATTAATATTTAACATTTAATATTTTATTATAAATGTTAATAATATATACAAATATTTAGGTAAGCAATATGGGCGGCATTCAATATCATATAGCTAGTGCATTAGGTTTGTTGCCTGCTCAAATCATCAATATTTACTTGGGCAGTAGTTTAAGATCTATGCAAGATGTACTTGAAGATAGATCAACAGCAGCAACTGGTTATATTGTCTTCTGTTTCCAAGTATATTCTATTTCTAAAGAATGAAAAAATTAAATTTTCTATAATGTTGAACAATAAACATTAGTAATTTTTTTTCAATTTCAGATTCTGATAGGTATTTCACTGATGGTGTACGTTGTACAAAAAGCACGTAGAGAACTTCAACTGGCATTATTAGAAGCTGATCTTGCCTCGATGGCTGATACTTCTCACTACCTTCTTGATACATTACCAGATTCTAAAATAGTTTTAACAAATCTAATTGCCTAGGAATTAAATAGAAATCTTATTTATTCATTCATTAGATGCCTATATGTTTCACATCTAATGCAATTTTTTTCTGATTAAGTTAAAGATAGAACGTTTAATAAATTGAAGAGGTTCAATTTATTATTTGTTAATGATAGTGATATATATTCGTTTTTTCTATATACTCTGAAAGTACTGAATATTTTGTGATATAAGCAACAGCTAACAAACAATCGCTTTATTGATCATACTTTAGTGAAAAGTTTTAGACAAGTGCAGATAGAGAATAGTATTAATAAATATATTTATTTATTTATTCTTTTTTTTCCTTCTCCGAAAAACAATTTTTGTGCCAAATCTCGTTTTTTACGTATTAGAAATCTTCATTGTTGTCTTTTGAGAATTTGAGTGCATTTATATTTCTTTACTTATACTAATTTTTATATATTGTCAGCAGCTTTGCATTTATTTTTGGTAATACTTTTATATAATATAACAAGTCTTCCAGAGTATTTAATAATTTAAATTTTACATTAAAGAAATATGGAACAAAACTGGGAGAAAAAATTTAATAATCAGACAAGCATGCAAAACATGGAGATTGTAAAATATTAAAATTAAAAACAATAACTTAATTAACTCATATAAGTTACGCTATATATGATATCGAAAACAGCATTTTAACAGGGAACATTTGAATAACATTTAAGTGCTATATGACAAATTATCGAGTAAACTTTTATTTGCATTTTATTTGGAAGACTGACAGTTTAGTAATTGAAGTTTACATTAATTTGTTCTTTATATCACAACTTTTCTTTATTATATTAATGAATCTTTATTATTGAATTCCTTTCAAATATTTGCTTCATACATATAATGTTTTAATTTGGACAACCATCAATTGGCTATAGGTAGATATCCTAATAGACAACAGACTTACCTTATTAAAAAACAAAAGAAGGAAAAATATGTATATATACATATATATATGATTCAACTTCATTGTCACGTATCCTGCATAACTATGTACAGACTATTGTAATCAATTTGCATGGTAAATTAACATAGGCGAATTAAAAAAAAACTATATTGTACAAATGTAACATACACAATTGTATGAAATAAAAGAATTCGTATTCACATGTTACGTTTAAACTTGCTTGCTTAAATATTTTCCCTCGTGTTTCTCCAACGCTTCCTTAATAACAGCAAAAGTAAAATCTGCATCCATTTTCGTTACACATAAAGGTGGCTTTATTCGTAGCACCTACCGAATCGACGCATCATAAATATTTATATGCATTAAATGTAAATACACACATTTAGTGCATAAAAGAATCAGTTCACTTACATTTGCATGCAAACCACCTTTACCAACGAGGACTCCCATGTTTTTGATGTCTTCGAAAATCTCCAGCACGTGTTTAACTTGCAACGGTGTCCTCGTTTCGGAGTTCGAAATCAATTCAACACCGATCATCAATCCTTTTCCTCTGACATCGCCGACGACGTTGGGAAATTCCAACAACAAAGTGCTCAAACGATCGATCAAGTAAGTCCCAACGGCGTATGCATTCTGCTGAAGGTCTTCTTCCTCTATAATCTAGATTAATTCAATTCGTTGTTATACAGGGTGTTTCGCGAAAACTAGACCACCTGGTATAATTATCTTCTCTATTAGCGATAGTACGAAAATTCCTGACGTAATTTAAACTGGTTGAAGAGGATGGAGGAGCTACATTTCTTTTAAAAATATCATTTTTTAATGTTTCTTTTCACTGCCATTTTTTCATGTGAGAAAACTGTATGTATTTTTTTCTGTCCCATCACGTGACTCGTGAGGAAACGCATTCAGGTATGTTTATGATGTCTGACCTTCAAGTGACCTTGAACTTAAAAATTCGTTTAAAAACGTGCGTCGCGACTGATTCAATTTGCAACCAATTTATGACACATACGAGTGAAGTGCACTTACATCTAGCACGGTTGATCCCACCACGCACGCAAGTGGGTTCCCTCCGAAGGTGTTGAAGTGCAGTGCCGAGTTCAAACTTTCAGCGACCTCGCTGCTCGTGACCACTACTCCAAGAGGAAATCCGTTAGCTATTCCCTTTGCTAGGGTCACTATGTCCGGCTCGACGCCGTGGCCCTCGTAACCCCAGAAATGTTCGCCTGTCCTGCCGAAACCAGTCTGAACTTCATCAGCTATGTACAGGCCACCCTTCTCGTGGACGTAGTCGCATACCTTCTGGAGAAAGTATTTGGGATATTGGACAGCACCTCCTATCCCCTAAAATATTGTAATTACAAAAATATAAAATATATATATATATTTATAAAATTTATTTATAATATTTATTTGTTTATAACTTTGTTTGTAAATTTATTTATAATATTTATTTATTTATAAATTTGTTTGTGAATTTATTTATAATATTTATTTGTTTATAAATTTGTTTGTAAATTTATTTATAATATTTATTTGTTTATAAATTTATTTATATTTATTTATAAAAATATAAAATATATATATAATATAATTCAATATTTTATAATTATATATCTTTTATAAATATTTTATAAATATTTTATAAATATATCTTTTTAATACATACATTAATATATAATATATACATTTATATTCATATATATTAATATACAAATATATTGCAATTGCAAAATACTGAAAACGAAGTACCTGGATACTTTCGGCAATAAACGCCGCGACGCCGCCCGTGCACGGTAAGTTGAATCGAAACGACTCGTCGAACTTTTCGAAGTATTTCTCGGAGGCTACGCACTCCTCCACGCCGCAATTGCATTTTCTTCCTGCCACTTGCACGGGCGAATCTCTGCACCTTGATCCGCCCCAATCGCCTCTGTACACGTCTGGATATACCGCCTAAAATAACCACAATTCTCGGTAATTTAATTTATGTAATTTCTAGGTAATAGTTCCAGTAATTTGATTCAAGTCAAAAATTCGAATGATTCCAACAATCGGAAAGAATCTGTATATACTACATCATCGTGAGAATCTCACTCACGCGTAAGTAACCAGCCGGTTGCGCGATGAATGGATACCTCCATGTACTCATCGCGGTGGAGGCTGAAGTTCCGTAAGTCGCGCCATGGTACCCGTTTTGCAGTGAGACGATGTGCTGGTTGCGCGTGTAGATCCTGGCCATTAAAAATGCCAGCTCATTCGCTTCCGATCCACTGTTTGTCAGATACACCACTTTCAATTTGCTCGGGAATTTCGCTTTTAATTTGGTTACGTATTCGTGTAAACGTGCATGCATGTAAACAGACGACACGTGGTTCAACTTCGATGTCTGTTCAAATATAGCAGCTGCTATTTTCCTGAAAAATATACTGTCTCTTAGTTTGTTGTATTTATGAATTTTTTTTTTTTTTTGTATCTTACGGATGAGAGTGGCCAACAGAGACGGTAGCAACCCCGCCAAACATATCCAAATATCGTTTTCCACGATGGTCCCACAGCCATTGTCCCCGGCCTTCGTGTATCAACAATGGTTCTTTGTAAAATTGCTTCAAGGAAGGTGATACCATTGATTTGTACGCTCTTTCGACGGTTTCGTAATTCGCCCCCTGTATCGTGAACAGATCTAGTGATACTTGTGCTATGAACAAAATGATTTCTACGTAAAGAGTCTCACCTTGTAGGTAGAAGGCACGTACTCGCAATCGGGCATCTTTAGAAAATCTTTCACCGTGCTTATAGAACTTCTGACCTGTATAGCGAACCCTAAAATAAATTATATGCTATTAATCTATTTAAAAGTCTTCAGTTGAAGAGCAATGAGCTTTCAAAATTCCTGAGGGTTGTCGTAAACATTTTTGAAAAAATTTATTGAAAATTTGTAAGGAAATACTTACATCTTAAATTCGTGAAAGTAGAAGTTGCGATAACTTGAACGCATTTATTTGTTAACATATTTCTTCTTTTATAAATCGTCAATGTGTGAATTGTATTGTATATTTTGGACAAAATTAGCAGTACAATTTCATTTCCACTTCTATTAATCTGTATTAAAAATATTTATCTTCACGCACTAGTCTTCTTCTGTATGTTTGAACAGTTTAAAGATCGAACACTCACTCGTAAATGTCGTTCGATTATGAATGCGCAAATTTAAAAGTTAAGAGAAATTCATTTCATGTAAATATTCATGTATAAACCATGTAAATACGTTTAGGTGTGTAAGAGGTCAATAATTAAATTTCATTTAAGAATATTAATATACGAGAATGTTCCATTGTGAATACTCAGTAAAGTAAAACAATACTGAGACTATTGCTTGTAATCAAAATTTCTATTATTGTTTTCGATATTATACAAAATAATTTTACGAAAAATATCTTTTACTATAGATTTTGAAGGACTATTCTAAAGAATATACTGTCATTTCTGTAGAAACATATTTATTTATAATTTGAATTTATTAACATATACTGACAGACTATTTTCCAGTTGTATCTGCGTTTTGAAATATTTGTTTCTTTACATCGTTTTTAATGCTCAATTGTTTATTTGTCAATGATCTCAGTTTAAATACTATGGGTATCTTTTCCAAAATAGGATTTGTTTTTTGCAAGCATCTTATCCACGACAATAGGGAATCTTTGGAGGATGTTCCTGAAGCGCACATTGCGTAATATACACCATCATCCTGTTCGTGAATGGTGACTGGTATTTTGAAGTTGTGTCTTTCCCAAAATGGAATTTTCATATTAGATACATCTGAAAATAAAGCAAGATGTAAATTAACACTTTTGTTGATTAATATGAAATACACAAGTACTCTTATTTTCCTTTACCATCATACTCTCCGTAAATGACCTCTCTCTTTATTGGATCTCCCCTTAATACAAAATAATTCAGATAATAATCAGCAACCCAGACTGGGAAAGGTCCTTCCACCATCAAAGATTTATCAGTTGGTTGTACAGCGAGAAGTTCTTCCTGTGATTTACTCATACTCGACAAGATCCATGTATCGTCAATCGCGTCAGGTACATCCTTTGTCCTGTATAAAGTGACATTAGCTTGTACATCTACACTAGATATCTTTTTTAATGCATATTCGGCGAGTACTTTTGGATCTGTTGGCGTGGGTCGCGGTACGGGCCAAGGATTCAATTGACTGAACTTTGGTTGCCAATAGAACATGCTGAAACACTTTTTTAAAACCAGAGTATTTTTACCAAATATCTCCACGATCATTTTCTGCACGTCATAATCGGGTATCACGAAATTCTCTTCCATTTTGTTGAGTATTCGCAGAGCTGTGTCTTGATGTTTTGGATAATGATAAAACATAATTTGAAATCTATTTTCAGGTACGTATCTCCCTCTTGGAAATATATCAAGCAATGCCTTGTAAGCCTCAATGTCCTGATGTACGCCAAATTCGTCCATGTACTTCAACGCTGTTTGTATGAATTCCAATTGCGCTTTCCTGTTGGAATCATTCCTCTTGTATATACGTATGATTTCCAAGAAAGTTTCTTTTACTTTCACTTGCACATTAAAATGATGCGGCGTAACATCGACATTGGGCTCATTTTTGACATGCAAAATGTCATGATTATGAAAATTACTAACAATTGTCAACTGAATGCCAGCATGTTTCTTTATTACTGGCAATTTATTCAATGAGATGACAATTTTTCTCATTAATGTGTTCATACTACTACAATTTTATAACGTTTAATTCAAATACAAATCATAAATATACAAATATAAATATATATATATATATATATATATATATATTATCAATAGTCCTATATAACCTTCTTCTCAGAGTTCATAAATCTCATAATACATATATGTGGATAACATTTTAAATAACTGTCATAGATTTTTAGTACTAGTTTCTTAGATAACATTTAACATTACTTCTTACTAATTAAATAGTATTTTGGTACTTTAGTACCTAACATCACTACAATTTCAGTGTTGTAACATTTTCATTGACAAGAATGAAGATAGAATTGACGTTTAATGTTTTTTCGTGTCTTGTTACTTTCGTGTCGCATGCGACGTTACCGATTCAGTAGAAACGAAACTTACTGATTTTGTCATTTTTCGGCATTCAAATGGAACAAAGAAAAGAAATCGAGCGTTCAATTAAAAAGATATAATTGTAGAATGCTTCTAATTATTTTATTATATTTCTAGTCAATTAATAGATATTAAAATTCATAGATGCTATTATCACATAACGGTGAAATAATGGAACTAAATTATTGCTTTCCTCGTCACATATTATTTACGTAAATGCTTGTAAGTCAAATCACAGACGAATCCCGCGTAAAACGTGTAATTCGAGCCATCTTCGATAGATGATAGTTTAAATTCTTGTCGTGGCGCTGCAGTCCTTTTTTACCGACCGGGCCAACGGCAACAAAACGGCGGCAAAAATAAAAGAAGAAAAGAAAATGGATTCGTTAGAAAAAGCATGTGCTCCTACATTATACATAAGAGTTAAATAAAATTATGTTAATTATGTTAATTAGCATTATTAATTAAAAAGAAGTATGTCATAAATTCCGAATCTAAATCACTAATACTCATCGCTTTCAACGATGAAATTGAATATAATTCTTGTGTTCACCATAACAAATCACAAGGAATATGAAAGACACTGATTTTTTCTTAGACTGATATTTTAAAATCTAAAACACAAAATCTCATTCAATGCTATGTCCATTGTTGGGGTTTGTCGAATTTCTTCTCCATTTGGTTTAATTTTTTAACTTTAATTTTTAAAAAAAGTACTTTTCTACAACCTCGTTTTATATTTTTATATGTCAGCGGCGATTCATTTTATAACTTTATAATTTAGCTTTCCATAATTTATGATTGAATTAATATCTTAATTATTATTATATTACTTTTATATTACTTTATTTGATAAAGTAATGAAAGAAAGAAACAACAGAGTAATAGAGGGGGTTCTTCTCCTATGGTTCGTAAAGCTGGATGCGAGCCATGATTGGCTCTCCAGTTTGAGAGACTTGTTTAGTCAATGGTTTGAATGTTTTATCACCCTTGTAATGAATGAATTTCGTTGAGAACCTCTGTTATGTAACAAAAATACGTAACCATGTGTTGTCGTATTTAAGGGGGTGAATGTTTCAAATTTGAAGTTGCTGTATCTCGTTACACGTATCTTATTTGTTATCAAAGAACAGAGAACGAATGATATTTAAAAATTATTACATTGTTATTAGAACGTCACTAATGAATAATGAACTTCTACTTTTCTGACTTTACTTAACTAATAATAATGTAACACGTGAATAATAATAATAATTGAAATCACGTCATAGTATGAATTTCGCAATAAATTGACGTTGTGGTTAATGAATAATATATTTAACAAAAAACCGTGAAACTTTGTACAACTGCAGATTTCAGGTTAATGAAAATCAAATCTAATAAAAAATAAAATCAGTAGTATGAAAGGAAAGGATTTTTACATTTTACAGTATTGGTGTATTCATTAGATGTATTGCAATACCTGTACAATAAAACGTTATTAAAAAATGAATCCTATGTTAAAGATATTTCTAACTTATTGTTGGACAAATGTATATTTAATCGTTGGAATCAGTATGGGTTTAAGTCTCAGTATGATGTTGATACCAGTTGACATAGATAATTCTAATGGAAACACAGATTATTTAATACATTACTTACACTATCAAGATGACCTGGATGAATATGAACCAAAGATAAATATCAATAGCAAACCTCTACAAGCGCAAAAAGTTTCCAAAGCATTGGTGCGTCCGAGATATTATTCGACAGAGCTTGGAATCAGAGAGAAGCTATTCATAGGAGTGATAACGAGTCAACAATATTTATATAGCAGAGACATAGCAATTAATAAAACTGTTGCCCACGTTGCGGACAAAATACGTTATTTCATTTCTATACCCGAGGGGACAAAACCCAATGTTACTCTGCCCGGTATAGTTGGATTTACAGATACCAGAAGCATTTTGAAGCCATTTCATACTATGAAATACATAATCGACAATTATCTAGAGAATTATGATTACTATTTCCTAATCAAAGATGTAAGCTACATCAACGTTAAAAAATTACTCAAATTTGTTACAAAGATTAGTGTAAGTCAAAACGTTCATGTGGGTGTTCTTGGAGATATTCCAACTTATTGTTCCTTGGGTAAACAGTATATCATATTACAACGTTGTCTCAATTTCAGAATACTTGATAATGATATTAAGAATTGTTATTCATTTCTAGATTCGGGAATACTTCTGAGCAATTCGGTGATACAAGAGTTGAAGAACAATTTGGACTGGTGTGTAAGAAATGCTTATTCTGATTCAGACGACGTCAACTTTGGACGATGTATTGTTCATTCTACCTCGATACTCTGTTCCAATCACATACAAGGACAGAAATTTTGGTACACCAAATTGAAGTCAACATTTTCATTTGAAAAGGATTTAAAAGACCTAATTCAAAACAATGAATTTCTAAATTCACTTGTGATATATCCGATATATGATCACTTTCTTGTCTACAAATTAAACGCTTATTTTGCGGCAGTGAGTACTCTAAACTGTAATAATTAAAAATTCGTTGATCTGTAATCTATGCTTTACAAAAGCTTATTTGGTGATTTTAGTCAAAGGCTATGGAAATTCAAGAAAAGATCTCTAACATTCGAAAATCAATTTTAAATATGGCAAGCTTAGGTCCTCCGCAAGAACGTAACGTTTCATGGCCTATTGGCAATCAACCGGGAAATAAAGCTATGAGTCGCTTCGATATTTTACGATGGACGTATTTTAACGAAACTCACATATTTTTAAATACTGACTTTTCAACTGTACAAGAATTAAAAACCGACGCTAAATTTGACATCGAGCGAACGATTAATGTTACAACTTCTAGTATAATTGCTGATTATCGGTATACATTAAAGTTTAACAAATTAATAAATGGGTACCAAAGATTCGACGCATCTCGAGGAATGGATTATATACTAGATCTGGAGTTCACTGATATTAGTACCGGTAAAATATTGAAGAAGAGGATTGAAGTGTGTAAGCCACTCGGCAAAGTTGAGATTCTGCCTGTTCCGTACGTAACAGAAAACACGAGAGTAAATATAATACTGACGGTGAATTCATTAAATAAGCAAGATGCATTGAACTTTTTAGAGCAATATGCTATAGACTGTATGGAGAAAAAATATAAAACCTTCCTTATGATGGTTAATATTTTTGTTTATTGTTAAAATGAAAAAAAAAGAATTTTATATATTTTTTAACTTTGTTTACACGTAGGTTCTCTTGTATGATTTTAACTCTGCATCTAAAGGAAAAGCAGACATATACTCTGAGATTAAACAATATGCGCTGTTGTTGGCTGAGAAGTATAAGAAACAACAGTCGAAAATCACCTGGCTTTCTATTCGGTTGCCAAATATTGTAACGTCTGTTGAAACAAATCGGTTATTGAATATTGCTGTTACAGACTTGTGCGTAAGAAAATTTGCACCTGAAAGTTTAATACTTTTCGTCGAGACTGGTATACAATTACGGTTGGATTATTTGAATAGAGTATGTATATTAATAATCCCAACGAGAATCTCTTACACGCAAATTAATTCAAAATTTAATATTTAGATCCGAATGAATACCATCAGTCAATATCAAATATTCAGTCCAATTCCTTTCATGGAATACCATCCTGATATAGCTCACATAAACGATATAAAACAAATTGACACGGATATCAATCGAAATCATGGGAGATTTGATGAGTATAATTTTAATAATATTGCCTTTTATGTCAAAGACTATAACACTAGTATGTATATTTTCCTATACCTCTTTTTATTTTATATTTTATATTTTATATTTTATATTTTATATAATACATTTACATCTTTTTGCAGTGAGAAAAACCATTGAGGCTAGCATTCCAATAATACACTCTGATCGAGATATTTCATCAGTGTTGAAATTTTCACAGAGTATTCCTGTTACTTCTTTGTTCGAGATGTTTGTTTCATTCAGCAATTTACATATTTTACGCGCAATAGAACCAGCTCTCAAAGTAAGGTATAAAAATGTCGACTATGTTGATATTATTGATAATAACAACTTTTGCACACGGTCGAAGAATTTTCATTTAGGTCGACGTAGTCAACTTGCTAGATTGATACTGGACTATCAAACTTATAAAAATGGCTTGTTAAGATGAATTGTACAGCAAATATTAATAAGTAAGGCACAAATATATAGTTTATGCAGGAATATAAATAAAGTTATAAAAGTGTGATGAAAAAGTTGATGTTAAAATGTTATACATATCTATATAAAAAGATTCATATTATAATATTTTATTAAATTTATACATTTCACATTAAATAAATATTTTGTAAGTAATGCAGTTATTCAATTCTTTTCGTAACAAATTAATTCTTTTCGTAATAATATATATAATTTTATATCCATAAAAAGATTACAGAAGAAAACAATCGATATGCTATGTATTGGATACGACATTTGGATATTTACATTTAAAAAAAAAACAATCAAATTGATAAATTATAAACTCCAGTGAAAAGTATTTGCCAGTTTTCTAAAAATTACATAAAACATTTTGGCAAGATTTCTAAGATGTATAAGAAAGTAAAGATCATATAATTACACTAAATATTAGTCAGTAGTAGTAATTGTACAATCCCTAATACCTTATAAATAAATGTACATACGCTACATCACCATTTCATTTTTTCCATATGTTTACTGCACAAAAAGCGAAAAGTTTTCGTACGTACCGTAACTGACTGCAATACATATATAATAATAGAAAATATTTGCTATACATATTTTTTTTATGTGTAATATGGAATACAATTGAATTGTTCTATTTCTTCAATATACAGTAATAGGAAATAAAATGTTGGAAAAATAGAGAATTTCTTGGCAGATATTTAAAACATCTTTCATTGTTCCTGCAAAAAACATTGTCTCAACAAAAGTAGTATTTATATTTATTAATAAATGCAAATAATTCGAACATATCTTACCATTAATCACTATCAGATTCTGATTCTGATAATTGTAAATCATCATTTAGAAGATTATCTGGCATTAGAGGCGATGGATTTTTACTGTTATTTCCTAAAAAGAAATATAAATAAAATGTAAAAGTAAATATTACTTAATTTTTAAAATAATAAAAATAATTATTATATTATATCAATATATTATTATAATAACCATTAGCCCCCGTTAAAACTGGAACATTTTCAGTATCTGAATCACTGTCTGAACTATCTGAACTTGAGCTACTTGAAGTAGAATCACTAAGAGCACCTCCATCACTGTCCGCAGTTACAGAAGATTTAACAGCTGATTGAGTATTAGTTACGGAAAATGACTTTACAGGCGCAGAAGAATTGGTAGTCGGTAATGATCCAGACGATGTTAAAGGACAATCATCAATATCAGAACTAATCATTGGCAAACTAGCCAGAGTTGACGATGCCACTGATGGCTGTTGCACTGGTGAACTAAAGTTCTGCGTTTTTAGTACGTTTAGAAAAAGATCTTTGTGAACCTACAGAAATGCTATCTCCTATCTGATTTTGAATATGTTATGGAAATTAATATTTCAAACAATTTTTTCTTACACATATAATCAGTTTCCAAGTCTAATTTCCGAGATCTTTGCAAAAAACTGCCAGAACTAGCACATTGAACTTTCCTTATCTGTGACATATGCAATTTTAATTGACATATTATATATTATTCATAAGTAACCGACACATTTGTTGTCATATTATATATTATTCACAAGTAACCGACACATTTGTTGTCACATAACAGACATACCAGAATTCACTGTGAAACCATCAGTTGTTTGCAAACATCTTGGAAACTAGACTGACAAACATACACAAAAAAAGTTGTTTGAAATATCGATTTCTCTTTAATATACTCGAAAATCATCAAAATCTGAGAGGAAGTATTTTTCTACAGGTTCATCTTAATGTATTATTATAAAATTACTATATAATTAAAGTTATAATTAAAGTTATAATTAAAGTTATAATTAAATGTTATATAATTAAAGTTTAATACAAAATATTATTTTACATTTCATCAAAGTATTCCAGGTTTCATTTTCTTTTATCAAAATAAATTGTTACTTATTTGCTCTCGTTGATATTAAAAAATGCTTGTACCTATTAGTTGAAGTGACAGGAGGACTTTTGCCATATGGCGATACTCTAAGGGGACTACACTGTTTCGGATGTAGTTGGGCAGTGGGTTCTCTCCTTTTCCCACTTGTCACTTTTGTTCTTCCAGTTGCCCTACCGTGAGTGGGACTTCTCTTCATTTCTACAGGAGTTATGGGCCTACTGTTACTATTTGCTCCAGAAATTCCCAAGTGCACCTGTGACTTTGGTTCTGTTCTAAAAAAAATACGACATAAAATGTAAACATTTGATGCATTTTACAAAAAATAAAATTACATACCGGGTCTTCTTTACTTGAATATTCGCCGACAACTTCTCCAATGTAATTTCCCCTGTCACCCTGTCGATTATCAAGACACATTCCTTGTGATAAGGTCTTTGAGAGCCTTTGAATACCGTATGAGGGATCCCGGCGCCATCTAAATGTGGCACGGTAACTGTCATCATGTTGTTTACTCCAACGTCTACCTTTGCTATTTTGGAAACATCAACGCTCGCTGGTTTGAAATCATCTAAATTGTTAATAACTGTGGTTACATTTCTGACTATGAGTTGATTACATTTTGAATGTTATTTGTACAAGCAGCATTTAATATTCAATGTAAACAAGTTACTTATCCAATGACACTGTGTGAATTAGAATTACTATTGAGATATACTTAGATTAGAAAACAAAGGAATTTGTCCACTAACATTTCAAAGTGTGAAAAGCCGTTGATCTGTTATTGGTAAATGTAGGGCCCAACTTCAGTTCTTTAATCTCCGGGCCCAAACCGAGCTGCTGCGCCATCATGTCACGCCCTATGCCTTGGAAATTCGTATCAGCAACAGAAGTGACCGATTTCATTGCGCACGGCTTTTTGCGTAAATCTCCCTTTTGATATTCGAGCTGTCGACCGTGATTGATCGTTGTTTTACTCGCTAATTTGCCAAAATATGGCAGGGACGCGCATTTGTATTTCCTCCGTAACAGCTGTTACCCCGTACTGTTCTGTTACGATCGATTTGCCTGCACACTCGTTCGTTCTGTGCAATAATTATCGTCGAGAGCCGTGTTTTTTTTTAGCTAGCAATAAAGCTCAGGTGACACGTGAGAGCCAAGCGAAAATACACAATACGTGAGAGCACAGCTCACCACAATACTATTCATTCATTGATCTAGTTCGTCCGTGTGTCCGCGTTCATGAAGACCGCGCTTAATTTATTTATTTGACAACTGTTCGAAAACACAGAAATCGGGAAACAGCGATTCGATCACACCGACTGCCAATCAATTCGATTGAAATTTAAGGCGGTTAATCTCAGACTCCAAATGGTACTATCACAGCAAACGTCCTCTGACTGAATCGAAGATTCAGTTTCCAGTACACTGCACTGATATAGAACCTGCATATAGATAGGCCACTACCTGAATTATATTACTAGAACCACCTGAAAAATGTCTGACGGACATGATGTACAAATGCATGAAGTACTGCATTTATTTAAATAATAAATCTCTTTTTCAATATATACGAAAATCCAAAGAGTTTTATGTAACTTTCAAGATATTTTATTCAGGGATGTAAATTTTCGATGTTACAAATTCGCGATGTCACTCAATTCTAGTGACTTTTCAATATCCCGTCACCGTTCACTCATGGTTCTAGGGAATTTCACAATTCGAAATGCTCGCGAATTCAAAATGCGTAGACACCAAGCACCGAATTACAATCAATTAGATTTACATTTACAGTTCGCTCAGCGTCAAAACCATGAAAATTTCTACGAAGCACAAAGAATATTGGCTCAAATCGGTGCTTGAAATCTCATAGTGATAGCAAAGTTCGTCGATAAAAAATCGCTCAAATATGTACGAGACGACCAAGCTGATAACGTTGTAATTACTGTTTCTTAGGCCGACCAACGTGATCATCAACAATTGTAGGGTGGTGGTGACATTCATGAACAACTGATGCCTCCTTATTTGACTTTGTTTTCGCTTTGGCTGCAGATAAAAGAATATTGGCAGTATGCCCAAAGAGAGTAGCATGAGCCAAACTTTCTCACTGATCCCATATCCTTGCAAGATACCAGCAGTGAACAACGCCAATGACATAATGTCAACGATCATAGAGTACCAATCGTAGAAGATCCTTAAGTACTTTGCTATATTGGTGGCTGATGTAAGAAACGGAGTTCCTGGAAGCAACATTCGCTAAGGATAATATGCTCTACATAACACATATTATGAGTGCTGTTTTTTACTACGCCTCATAGCGTGAACTAAGTTGTTCTTGAACACAAAAGCTGCATGTATCTCTCTAAACCTAGAGTTTCTAGAAGTGTTACGAGAAAGACGAACTCTTTTTGCTTTTCTCCTATGCTCTTTAAATTTCTGAGCAGGAGGAAAAGAACATGGAACGTGACAGTTTCTAATTTTTGTATGTGAAGTACATATAATCAGTAATTTCGCTATTGATTCAAAAATAACTAGTTGGAACTTGTGAGAAATAATATAATTAATGGACAGTTTTCCTGGCTGAAATAAAAGTTTAATAAAACAATTTGCATTTTCTTTTTTACTGAAATTTCTACGAAACAGCTAGTATTGAGGTAACATTGTATATTTTACTGCAAAATTAACTTTTAGCTGAAGAATCAGAATCGGTTACAAAAAGGAAAAAGTCTATATTTTATACAGATTATTTATTTCTTCAAATTGTTACAACTATAATGCTAGGATGCTACAGAATATGAGTGGGTTTTGTTATTAAATGATCAATCTGCATGAAAAAAGGGTATCTGCAATGCTGTGATAAGCAAAATTAGAAAATTATAAGCATGCAAAATGTAAATATCTACTGTACTACTTCTAGTAATGTTCAAATGTATACTTAAGCAAAATGTGTGCCAACTAAAAAATATATTACTATGTAACTGCATATTATAGAGTGACATAGGAATTTTTGTTACTCATTTCCTTTAGAAACAAGCGCACTGAATTGTGCTATTATTTCTCATCTGTTCCAACAAGACAAAACTTTTACAAATAATAAAAAGTATTACTTCTTTGTCTGTAGTTTTACATTTAAAAGTCAAGTATAATACCCTTACGTAGTTTCATACCAACTAATCCTCTGCATGACCCCCACTAATATATAAGATGTACTTTTAGGGGGCTCTGTACAGATAATATTGCTTTAAAAATATACTAGGAAAATGCCAAGATGCAAAATATATACAGTTGTCAATGGAATACATTCTTACCAAACCTGAGTGCTCCCAGTATGGAGTGCGAAAGCAGAATTTGAAAGGCACGAAATGACCAAGTGTTTGTTTTATCGTACTCATTACCAAGAGTTCTCATGCAACCAATTGTCACGAAAAGTTTCGCTAGATGTGCAAGAGTGCTGCTTGGATGAATCATGGCCCTTTTATTTAAAGACTACTTTCTGGCTTGATGTTCAAGTTGCCGGAAACTTCCATGCGATGACAATTAGAATATCTTCTCGTCACGAGGAAGTGTCTCTACATTTCACTCATCAATGACATTCAAAAACGTAAGATTCTTTTACGTTCTGTTTAATATTCGAACGAGGTTATGTACACTTGGATCCGTACCGAATATGCATTACTTCTTAACGACTGATGCGATCTATACTTAAACGAATATCATTCCGAATTTGTTTAACTTTACCAAAATGCAAACTTCTGTATAGACAGCGGCAGGAATATTGTACTCTATTTAAATAGTTCAACGCGTATACGTATGTATGTTGCTTGTGCCTCGAAATAGTTTCGTCACATATTTTGAGTATCATGCTATATTAACTAGATAAAAGTCGAGTATATTCAATTACAAACTTGGACGTTTTTTCAAATATTCTTTTCAACTTTCGACATGAGATCTATTTGAAAATACAAGTTCGATTGCAGAAAAGAAAAGTGATTCCTCAAGAACTAAACAAAGGAAAATCTCGTAACTCGTGAAGATAGTGTAATAAGAACTCAGTTTACATATACATATATGTATATTTCATAATAACGTATAAAAATATCCGTATTTTGCATACAATGTGAATAAAATTATAATTATAAGAGGAAAGTTAGTACAAATAAGCTACAGTTGTGTATAAAAAAGAACATAAAGGATTGAATTGGCAAACACAAGCGTTGGCGTCAGATCAAAAAGTTTTTTAAGTAAATAGAGAGACTTTTATGCAAAACGGAAAAAAAGAAAGAATGGAAGTGCATGATGGAGGTCAATGTCTTTCCCTCGTTCGAAACGACATGACTAATACATCATCGATGCGCGTTGACGCTTCTGCTAAAAGTTTTGCAGCAGTACTGCAGTATTTTTACCCTTGACAACTTGTCGAGTAATAGCGGCAAACGTTCGTGCGCGCACGACGTGGAATCATTACTTTAAAGCCTTATGGGAACTTCGTGCCATTGGAAATTCGAATTTCATTTGTACCAATGCCTTTCGAGCAAGATTTTATTGAAGCAAGATTTTATGATCGCAGCGATGTAATAATTCATTCAATTTTATTTTTGCAATACTTCGAACAAAAGGCATTAATTCCTGTGCGCGCGCGCGCGCGCGTACACATGTGAATACGCGAAAAGGATCGTTCAAACATGTTTCCTCAATTTATTCAATTTTTTACATAAGCGAGAGTGCAGAATAATAATTTAAAAGGTACGAAAACGACGCAACTGTTAATATTTGATTTCGAACGACACTTCGTTTATGAATTCCTACGTACCATCAAGTAACTGCTGCCATCTATCACGCAAAGTGAGTTCATGAGTACTTGGTAGGTCAAAATTGCACGAAATTGCACCTACCGAAATGCAGGTAAAATCTTACATTAAATGTAATAAAATAATTATAATATAAATTTTAAAATAATTATATATACATCGCATCTTACATTAAATGTAATAAAACAATTATAATAATATAAATTCTAAAATAATTATATATATCGCATCTTACATTAAATGTAATAAAATAATTATAATATAAATTCTAAAATAATTATATATATTATTCTAAAATTTATTAAAATTTTGAACATATGTCCATCGAAACAATGCTCATACATGTAACAGTTTTGTTTGATTCAACTATTAAATTTTTCAGTAATCTTATGGGAAATGAATTTCAGAGGTTTACGGAAAGGTAAATACGTATTATAAAACAATAATCTTGTCTCAATACGTAATTTAAGTATAATATTGACATTAGCCAATGATATATGATTTGCACAGTGTGCAGTATAAATAAAACTCTCATTCACAAAAAGCCTTATCCAGTTTCTGAAGTCTGGAAATCAATTTCCTCTTAAATTTAATATTATATTAATAAGGAGATTTGTAGATTAGTTCATAAGTGACAATACAGTTTCCAAACACGATTTTATCATCTCCCTTTGGCAAACAACATGACTAAACCATAAGTTTTCGCAATAATGGAAACGCTCACACCCATGTTATGCCTCGAAATGTTAATAAGCTACGACCTTTCGTATTCCGTATTGGTTTACAAGCGATTTCAGATAACCGTTTCCTCTGCAGGTAACTACTAAAAATAAAGTTTTGCGATATTTTTACATTGGGCACCAGAAATGCTATTTATACTTAACTGTATAACTCGTTTTAAAGTAAACTATAATTTGCAGTTCTTACAAATTCCAAGTCACTGTCACAATTATAAAAATTGGTCTATGAAAAATAAGAAAGATATTCTTCCATAGATGGAACATGTGTCACTGCGATAATACGAAAATAAACTCTCTCTTGCTGACGTGAATTTTTCTTATATAATTGTCCTTCGAGCTTAATTTTTTTGACACAATAATGATTACGATTTTTCCAGTTTTCTAATGCAACATTTTAATTACACGCCCATTATTCAAACTTTGTTCCCTTTGTTCTGTCATGAGTCAGGATTAGTCATTGCTTGATGATTAAAATTACAACTGCTATTGCAATTGGGTTACGTGGCAGAAACAACTGAAATCACCGAGTTTTTGTTTCTTTTTTTTTTTCCTAGTTTACCAATGTCGACGATACGCGTCTACATATTTCAGATTTCATCTTTTATTGTTCGTACAGTGCGATGCCTGATTGTACGTCATAATTACATTAATTACAAAGTAAAAAGAAAAAAAAGGAAGATATAAAATCTTTATTATATTACATTGTATTATATATCTTAATACACATGAATTACTCGCTGCATAAAAGAAAAACAATAAGTTTAAGAAATAACAGAAGTTTAATGATATCAAGGAGGATATAATCTGTTATTAATTAGTCATTCTGTGGGAACGTACGTACGTATATTTTTTCCAATAGTACTTGGAGATGTTAATTTGGATATTGCAAAGTAACGTTAATAAATACATGTATATATAACACGGTATACAGTTGTATTTGCATTCTTTGAATTCATAGTACGTATATCCTGCTCTTTTTTTTTTTTTTTTTTTTTTTGAAAGCGATAAGAATGCAAATGACATCGAATAAATGTGTGTAACATTTCCTTGCGTAACTCGATGCATCATATCGTCTCAAACTTAATGGTATTATTAATATTAATATCATCGTATTTACGTTGCTTAAGAAAATTCGTCGAAGTCAATAATCGACTTACCTCGTTTCAAAGTACAGATATTACCATCACTTCAAGATCAAGATTAAAATACATCCTAAACGAATGATTTTTATCAATGTAAACGCAACGAATGAAATTTCGATGTAATCAGGATATCAAAGTTACTGATCAATCTTTTAACTGATATCAGTAATAATTTAAGATCTTGGCAGAATTGTAGAATGCGAAATACTAAATACTAAAACATTTCGCAACACTTGAAAAAAAATTTATTATTTCACTCAAAAGCGGCCAACACGTTGCGATGCACACGTGTATGAATTTTCAGGTTATGTATCAACTTTCATGAAACAGCGATGGAATTGGGGCTTGCTCGTCAATCTAGGGCGATATACTGATTTCTGTATCGATGTAAACTCGATTTTCAAATCGATACGCCGATGTGAGTTTAACACTGCGTCGTGAAACTTGAGAATCGATGAGAGGTCATACGGTAGGTTACCTTAATACTGCAACTAGGAAATTTGTGAGAAACCAATGTTCGAATTTTATATGTTTTCCCCGAGTCTTTTTTTTTTAGCAAAATTAACTTTTATATACTCGTAATAAATTTTATTAACGTTAACTTTTATATACTCGTAAATAAATTTTATCACTCATAATAAATAGCTTCTAAGATTTCTAATTAGTAAAGTACATAAAATAACTTTTATATATTCGTAATAAATTTTATTAACGTTGACTTTTATATACTCGTAATAAGTAGTTTTTAAGATAGTTTCCAATGTTTCTCGTGATGAATGAAATGAATATTTATGATAAATATTTATGATAATAGTTTAATAATAATTTTATTATAAAAAACGTTTCATTATAAGAAACATATTACGGCATTACGGCAACAACAGGTCAATAGTTCTAATGTCAAGGAGCTTTGTATGTAATTGACAATCTTGCAAGTTTCAACGAGTCATTCCCTACTTTATCTTCCTTTTTTTTTCTAATCATTCCTGTTTTACCGTCTGTTATCGTTTCCCGAATTTGTTAATCTCGGCTCAAATTGAAAGAAAATCTGAAAAAATAGTTCGCTAGCATTCTCATTAGATGAGGACAATCGGACGATTGATTTCCAAGAACGTGACTCACGGTTTATCTTCGTTTTCAGAAGCGAAGGTTGCAAAAGCAAATTTAATCTCGCAGAACTGATACACGCGCCAGGCAGAGACGTTTATCGGTTTGTTCGAGTGTTTGTGTAATTATCGACGAGCGAAGGTGTGAAACGACGACGATACACTTTACTTGCAGAAATTTACTAAAATTTACTAAAAATGAAAAGAGAAGAAAAAAGAAGAAAAAAATGAAAACACAAGAGGGAAAAGTCATGATCTTGATAGGGGATCAGATCTCGAGATTTGGTCAACCTAAGCACGCAACACCTCATTCTTGGTGTTACCATTCTTGATGATTAGCCCTCTTTCCTTTTAATTGATCACTGATCTACTATCTGGCAAATTGTATATTACAACTTTTCACATGTTTAACGTTACGTTGAATTTTTTTTATTTTTAGATATAACATTATATATATAATACATTAATTATATATATATATATATATATATAATAGATATAATATAGATATAATATTTTTAGATAGCATGGGTGTCCTTGTTGCTCGAATATTTATAATATGGATAATAATCCGACGATAAATAATACGAATAATAATCCGACGATGTCCACAATGAACAAGTTCGTCTTCCGGAGTTTGAGATTGTAGAACAAATTTCCACGGAATTTCTTTTTCCTTCAGCGGAGGAGGTGCTCCTTCGCGTTTTAATGAAACAATCGAGGAGAAATTTAATGAATTCCGCGCTCGCGGATCTTGGAAACTACGTGAAATCGTTCATATTTTGTCGGTTAGTATCTGATTCAACGCGCTCGTTACAGTGAAAATCGGCGGGGGGAGGGGGGAGGAGGGGGGGTGGAAAATTCTCTCGAGTTTCTCGGATGTCTCTGTCCCGCTTCGTTGGATCCGTCCCGGATAGTCGCGCACACTCGTGACTTCACTGGATGCGACGACTTCGTCGAAGTCCGTGGATTATTTCGTGTTTCCAACTTCGCGAAATTTTTCAGCTGTTCACGAGCACTTGTTCTCGGGCACTTGAAATTTGGAGACTCAAACACTCGAGTATCCGAGTTGCTTGGGTGAAGGGGTGGGGAGATGTTCGAGTGCTCAGGCCCTTGAATAGAGAATTCAACTACGTATTCTGACCTTTCAGAAAGCGAAGCAGCTCGGAGAGCTCGACCGTGTTTCTTCGATTATTTTAACCTCTTGCGCTGGAATGACGTGCCACGCACGTCGAGAATTTTTTGTCCCAAAACTGCAATAATATTTCTAAGTTTTAAGTATATTTAAGTATAACCCAGGCAAAACAAATAATAAACTTCTCAATAATTTCTATCTAGTGATATCATACCGACGAGTTCAAAAAGAAAGCGTTAAATTATTGTATACGGTTTGGTCACTCGTTATGGTCCGCAATCAGCTGCCAGCGCAACGTGGTTAACCTCTTTGCGCTGGAATGACGTGCCACGCACGTCGAGAATTTTTTGTCCCAAAGCTGCAATAATATTTCTCAGTTTTAGGTATATTTAAGTATAACCCAGGCAAAACAAATAATAAATTTTATCTTCTTAATTAATTTCTACCTACAGTGATATCATACCGACGAGTTCAAAAAGAAAGCGACTATTTATTGTATACCGTTCGGTTACTCGTTATGGTCCGCAATCAGTTGCCAGCGCAAGTGGTTAATACTGGAACTAGCGATCAAAACGATCAATTTATTATAATTTTTGTCGAAGCAGTTTCTCGGCTCCGGACTTACTAGTTATGTTGCATTTTCAGAGGTCAGGATTTTTCTAGAGCGATATGAAAGTTTATATTTTTCATTGTTGGAAACTTTTCGTCATTCTAATTTCTCTGGTTTTTTAGTTACTTTTTAGTTTCAATGTTAAATAATCTTCGAACGTCTTCTTTAAACATCAGGTTAATCCTGGATCCAGCGTGTCGTAAATTTTTGCGCGAACGTACAACGTAGTCAAACATTTACCAGCGACCTTGCGTTTGATTAAATAAATAAAAAGGAAATAATAAACAATCAAGAGCCTGGTACCTAGAGCGTAAAAATTAGAAAAAAATCATTTACTTTGCCGAGCGGACAAAGATATTTGGATAATTTTGGAAAATATATATGTACGTATGTACGAGAGAGATCAACCGATCACGTTTTGTTACGTAGGGAAGATACACGAGGACAAAAAGTGTCCAATTTTGTCGTCTAGATTTTCTTTTTTCTAAAACGTCAATTCGATCTCGTGAAAAATCGCCCTCCCCTCCCCCCTCGACTACCGAAATACGAAACGTGTACCGCGATACCTGGATTAACGTGTCGCGTAATATAGATGAGAGATCGATGTCCAAGCACAGCGATAGCCGTGTAATGCATTCTCTCGCGAGGTGGGTGTACCCGATCGATGTATCCCGTTCGAATCAGTCCTTTCTATCGTGTTATTTCGTTCCGCGTATCCAGGACACAATTGCCGCGAAAACAAACAAAATGGAAAAAACACGGTGCACCGTACGTATATAGGATCGACATTGGAACATCCGCCAGACAATTATCTCACTCGTTTATTTTAATCTACTGGAAATCAGTTTGAAATAACAACTCATTGTCGGTTGTCAAACGAGAAGAACAATGGCTGTGTCCTTCAGTCTTCTGTCGATCTATAATAAGAATTCGTCTATCTTCGTAAGAATATAGAACAGTGGTTCCCAATCTTTTTTTAGCTATGCAGCTAACCTAAGCAATCTCTACAATCCTAATGCCCCCCATCCCTGTGACGTGTAATTTTTATTATTCGAAAGATGAATTTTTTTGACGTGGAAGAAGTTTAAAAGACCATTGATGCGTTGAATGCTATGGGGATCACTCCATGTGCCAGTAGCGCCACCGATGACCAGCAATACCAAGGTTAGTACAGGATGGTCATCACTGGAAGACTGAACGATGTAAAAATAAGTTTCACAAACGCGTGTTTTTAAAATTTTTTATTACTTTATTATTTGGAAATGTAATTAATGGATTTTTTTCAGTATTGCGTGTGAAAAACAACATTCCTCAAATGGACTACCATTTTGAAAATGAATAAATTATGAGCTGTAACGCATTCAACTTGGTCAAAACAAGCTTCCAAAGAACATGGCAGTCGTGAAAGAAAAAGATCAGAAGGTCAAATTTTCATTCAAAGAGATGCAGGAAATTCATTCTCGAATTGCCCTCTTAGAAAATCAAATTGCCTCTCCTCCCCAGTGGGACCCACGGTTGGGAACCACGGATATAGAAGAACGAGGAAACGAGATACAAGTAACGATCTGTTCCTCTCGGAAAAAGAAAAAAATTAGCTTGGCATTGTGAGCGAACGCCTCGCGACACGCCAGGCTCCCGTCGGTACGTGAAAGCGGATAGAAAACGATAGAAAAATAAAAACGCACACAAGAGGGAAAGGGACGGCTTGTCTCTCGGGGCGTGCACGCATGGAAAAGTGTGCATTTGCGGGTAGGAAACTGGAAAAGAAGAAAGTGACGATGGTAAACTAGTCGCATACACGGCGCGGCGACGTATGCATAAGCGAAGGAGGAAAGAAAGAAAACAAGAAGGGAGGAGTCTCGAGTCTCTCAAGAGTACACGTGATGGTATATCGTTTACACGCGCGGCGAGAACACGATCTGTCCTCTATGACGCGACGAAGAGAAAACACAAGATAGTGGTTTCCATTTCAGGTACTTTAATAAACATGTACAGTTGAACGTATTTCCGTCGAACGTATTATTATTATTATTATTATTAATTATTATTATTAGTTGATGATATATGTAGATACATATACATATATATATATATATATATATATATATATATATATATCATCTTTTGAACACGGGCGGACTCTAGAGCCATTTTACAATGGACCAAGAAACACAGTGAAATGATAAATTCGACCTCGAACCCGCCTAGTACGCGCTCCATTAAATTAATAAATAATTATAATTAATAATATTATAATTGGCAATGTTTCGCGTGAAAGTTACAGCAGGTGACACCACTGTCCGGTTCTTTTTCTCGCTGTTGTTCCTTTCGTTCTTTCTTTTCTTTTTTGTTTGTTTTTCAACTTCATATCTCCGCAAATTGACACCTAAAAAAAAAAATCGCGCGCTTGTTGCTCGTTAAAAATTTAGAAAAAGATGAGAAGGTGAAACTTTGTCGAAACGCATCCACTTTCATTGATTGATCTCCTGCAGGCTTTTTCTGTCGGAATACGATTCGAATATGCGATCAAATTCACTGAAAAGTATCAATAATACAGAAGCGCACAGAAATTCGACTTCGGCGGATATTCGTGCTGGCAAAGCCGACATTCAGCCAATGCTTCTAATTAGGCATGCGTAAATTTCCTAAATCTGTCTGATTAGGATAAATTATACGGTGAAAAACGAATGAGTCACGCTAATTGCAAGTAAAATTTCGTAAAAGACAGTGTCAATGTCAAAGAGATAAAAAAAAGATCTAATACAGCGGTTCCCAAACTGTGATACCCTTGGGGAGTGGGGGATAAATAATATTGGCGGAGGACCAAAAAAAAAAAGAGTCAAAATAAAAACACAAAGACAAAGTTATAGAGTTTTGATTTACAAAGAGAGACTTATTGTTTTAATGCTGTTTTAATTTGTTTTGATGTTATGTTAGGCTGTTATAAAAAAATTGAAATAAATTGTAAAATCGAAGATCAAAGCCTACAAAAGATTGGGAACCGCTGTTCTAATATATTCTAATTACGAAACTACAAATGTCCCTACGATTATCAATAAAAATAATTTTACAATTATCCAGACCAAATATGTATGTACGCAATCAGTGAAAAATACACGAACGTCTGCTCAGTTCTTTATGCACACACAGATGTCGCACGTGCATACGTGTACGTACACATGCACCAGAAGCGCTACACTCATATCCACACCCATATACATATACACAACTTCGTTGATATACATATCCACGCTTCAGGCTCCGCCAACGAACGGTAGATATACACATATTACTCTATCAAATATTACATCAGGCTATTGATTTCCTTGACAGAATGTACACAACGTTCGATCGTGGCGTTCCAACGTTATTTGGCAGTAAAGAAATTAAGGGAATTGTGTTGCACGCACTTAGAACGACAATGCGAATGTCTCTTTCATATGTATCTAGTAGTCGTTATTTACAAAGCAAAGAAGCCCATTTGCAAAAGATGGGAGGATCAACAATTCGCCGTCTAGACTATCGAAACTCGAAAAGGAAAATAAAGAAAAAAAAAAAAACAAAGATAACTTCACACAAGGTTTCTACTCGACAGAATGAACGAGATCTTCGTGTGTATTTACGCACATACTGTATTCGGTGAACGAAAGTTCGCGTGGAGTCGTTGATTCGGAAAAGCATTAAAATTTACCAAGATAAGTAACAAGTGTTCTGTTTTATTAGTGATAAAAATTTTTTACAATCTCCTTACCGCTACTCTTCGAAACTTGCTTTCTCCCCCGGTACACAGTTGAGCTTCTTTTTTTTTACAATTCGATTTGCCGTGATCGTAAAATCACGCACCCCTGTACATTATACTATGTTCGACGGTCGCCATGTTAGTTTCTGCCTTAACACATCCGCCACGAGTATGCATGTATTGTACATTTCTTCAATATTTGTACAATAAGAAATTTTCGTAGTGTCGCGAGAGGTTAGGTCTACGTTGGTAGCCGTTGACCGTCTGAAACTATCACAAAGCAATAAATCACGCGGCGCGGCCCCAGGCAGAGCGAATTACCATTAGAAGTGAAAAATTACGGTAAGACTAATGTACGAGCCACCAGCGAGCTCGTATATCGCGGCGAAAGTGTTAATCAACGTTACGGCGGAACATTACCGCTGTGTAGTCTCTCTCTCAAATCGAAACTATCCCTCTGTGCAAACGCTGTACACATTCTCCTGCAACCGCGCTTATGCATGCCATTGCCCCGCTTTATCGTCTCATCGAAACTGGATGGAAAGGAAAACAGAAGCGGATTCGCCTTTCGTTTATTTTGGCCTGCTTCAGAGCTTTCGTACTCGTGCAGCGTTTGAAAAAGAGTGACAAGAAAATTAAGAGACAGATCAAAGAAAAAGTAAAAAAGAAGAGGAAAATGATTGCTTTGTACAATATATACTTTGATTTATCAACACACTGCCGACCGCGTGAATTCCAGCGGATGTTCGCAATCTTAATTGATTAACGAACGAGCACGATATTTTATGCGTACATTTGTTCCTTCCACTTCAAAATAATCATTATATCGGGTTTAGATTAACGCATTCGCGACCGATAACGCAGTCCTTCAAATTCTGAGTGCCGGTAACGTAGTACCACGGCATTTGAAATTCGTTAACATCGATAACGTAGGCTTACTTCATATCAAAATTGGCGAGATCTGATAGCCGCGAGAGTTATACAAGGTGGATCAAAAATCGCTTTCAAAAAAAAGAACACAAATTTGCGAACGCTTTAGCAGTCAACATTCGAAAGAAATAATTTTTAAAACATAATGAAACGGTCGTGTTTGAACTTGAATTTAAATTAATAAAATTAGATTTTTCATATGTTTTAATGTATTATAAAAAAAAAAAAAAACAGGCAAAAAACTTTTGACCCATCACACATGGTTGAATACAATTTTCATTTGTCTAATAAATAAGTGAACGATAATGCCGCAATTATCCAAACTATAATTACAACATCGCTGAATATAGTTGACATAGCAGTATCAGGTTTGCAAATTGAACGTAATAACGTTGCTTATATAGCAAGATTATTTATCAACCGTTTTTTTCACTCAAAATTATCTTCATTTCAAGTTTTTATTAAGTTATGCATATTTTTTACACATGAATCACTTGGAAAGATACCCTTACTATCTTTTTAAATGATTCATAAAAGAACGAGGAAGTAGGAGATAATTTTATCAATAACGTCTGACTATTCCTTGCGATAGGTATTTAGTTGCAAATTTTTTAAAGTTATATCAGCGGTGTTCAGCCTGCAATCGCCGATCGCGAATGTATCAAAAAACCAAACGAAATACCAAGCGAAATTTGGGAGGGGGGGGGGATCTGTTCCGGTGCTCGCGTGCATACTTTGGAGAGATCTCCCTGGCCAATCGACAACGCGTTCAGGAGTCTGAAGATATCACAGTACGAGAAAAGGAACTGAAAATAGTTCTTAAACGCCAGGATAATGAACACTTGTCACCGCAGAAGAATACCCGCAGATTATCAAACGAACGTATAGTGATCTTATCGACAGGCAGCGTGTCCGACGATCAGCTCCACTCGCTCTACTCGCTGATCAATCAACAAGCAATTACGCGCGATTGATTTTTCTCGATCGCGTTCTAAATTTATCTGCGTTCACGGCGTTCAATCAAAACGAAGCTACGTAGTATGTATGTACAGCAGAGCCCAATAAGTAAGAGTGCAGTATGCATTTCCCCGCGGATCACAGATTGAAGTGTCGATGAATCATCGATTGCTGCCTCTCGACAAATGCTGAATCCATATTCATGAGAACGAGACCTCCTTCTGCACCCCTCACCCACGCCGCAAACTGGACACTTGTCGCGTCCGACGCTAGTCGGCGCAACGAGCGCACGCACACGCACAAATGCAAACAAAACGTACGTTCGGTAAAAACGTTCTTGCAGTTCTTGTCTTCTCTCCCGTTTCAACGTTTTCAGCCCGTGAGATCCGTGAAAGAATGTACAAATTCGAGATGAAACGCACTGTACAACGATGCCTTTGATACATATTACAGAGCAAGTCTTCCGAACATGAATGTCCAATGAAACTGGACGCCCACGCGCGTAATAACGCGATTTGAAATCCTCTTAACTGTGGCTTACCATCAATGACGGTAATAGGATCGAATCGAGAGGTCGCTGGATAATCCGAGCGTGCGCGCGCGCGAACAACTTTGGGAAGCTAAATTGGACAGTTAATTAGGAATTGTATCGTCGCACGGTGGCCCGAAAAGCGCGTTTTTATGGCCGAGAAAGTCAATTTCACTGGTGTTTCGATGAAATTTCGTTTCCAACGAAACAAGAATCCTTTCAAACTGTGAAATTCAAAATGTTATTCGTTTCAGGTAATTACGCGAATAAGTACAACGTGACGTGAGATCGAAATTTTGAAAATCAAGCCAAATGAAGATAATTTTTTTAATTACTAATTGTAGAATTACAGCTAAATAATTGGTTTAAATTATTGTTTTACCCCTGTTCAATTGTATCTAAAGCGTATTTTAATCAAGAATATTGTTTATAGCAATTCGAAATTTGAAAATGGTTTAAAAAAAAAAATGATTTACCAGTGTTACGTGAAATAATTGTCAAGAAGAGTATAGAAATTTTGTACAACCTTTAAATGGACACGTATTTTAAGAAGTAGAAACCCTGGACGCCTGGACACATAATCACGCTTCAGTCTTGAACTATCATTGTCATCATAATTTTCCAGTTATTTCCGATGATCTGACAAAAACTTGGAATGAAAATTAATTAAAATTCTTTAAAAGTCTTCCACAAAAAAGTTCGAAGAAAAAAAATTTTATTTTCGCAAAAACTCGAGGTTACCTTTATCTTTTAAACGTCGTTACATATTTTAAATTTGACAACGTTAAAACTGACGTCGAAACGAATTCAACACCGGGTGAATTCAACTTGGATGTGTTTTATTTGCGACACTTGACACGCCTGCATTATACATCTAATTATAGAGGACACTGTTCCCAATTTATTCAAACGGCCTCCCGAGGCCGCAAGGTTGAAAATCGAATCGTTCAAATTCACAGCGATTCGGGAGGGAATGTTTCGTATCGAGCAAAGTATACAAAGTCGAAACAAAAGGAACGGAGAGGAATCGCGAGTCAAGTATCCGCGATCGAATTTTTTCGCGTGGGTATTTCAGGAATTGGCGTGAATTGGCGCGAATCGATGTTAGTAAAACGCTCGAACGTACCGAACGACCTGAAAACACTCGATTAGAAACGATGGGGATCTAAGTTGCTCGCAGCCGATAAAGCGCGTGGGCGTCGCGATTGAAGGTGAATCGTTTCCTCCCTTTGAAGAGACTGTAAATCTCGGCCGAGGGAGCAACTTGGGCATTAAGTTCCCCCCTAAACGAAGCCAAACCTTTAAAAAAAAAAAAAAAAAAAAAAAAAATGGTCCGTGAATGAAGAAATGACACATTTACAAATGCGTGAACGCGAATAACGTCTCGAGCGAATGACTAGTCACGCTGAACGAGGAGTTCGTACCTAAACAATATACCAGGTGGCGCAAAAAGAAAACGCTATAAAAATATAGACTTAAGTAAACGGAACGGTAAGTCTTTGATGTTCTTTTATATACACAGAATTGTCAATGATGCCGATATTATTAATAATTCTGCCCATGTCTTATTATCAATAATATCCGTTAATACTATGCGTTAACAATTATACATTATACGCGTGTGTACAACAGCCGGACGATCTGTGCGCGAAATGACAATGAACGATGGACAAACATGGGCAATACTATTAAAGAGAGAGAAAAAAAAAAAGAGACTTTGAACGACGGTAGTATTAACAGCGATAGTGCGAGTCCACGAGTCGCTTCGCGCCACACCACAGGCGAAAACAAATTAATCGATAAAGTGTATGACCGTCGACGCAGCGACGTTTCGCGATGACATATGTATATTACATAAGGCGCGGAAATCCTCTATTTAAGCAGATCACAGCTGCTTCCGCCTGGCCACATTTTGGATCTCTCGTAAGTAGTGTATATGTCCTTTCCTCCGTCGTACACGCTTACGAACTATACTGGTCGATTTTTCACTTTTTGTCCTTTTTCTTTTTTTTCTTTCTTTTTTGTTTTTGTAGAAAGACACAACCAACAACGAAAATTCAATACGACGTTCTAGGGACGCCCATCAGCCCCACTCGAGTTTAAATTTGAGTGAAATTTTCGCGAGAGTACACACAAACACACATACACATACATACATTTACAAGCTGCAAATTTGTTCGGTCGAATCGTCGTCTTAAATTTTCTTACACGCTTCGAGTTCTTTTTTTTCCTTTTTTCTTTGTTCGAAGAATACATCGCCGTCATGCCGCCAATTCGATCTTTTATGTACATACGCAAGACACATTGTTTAGGCAAAAAAGAGGACAACGCGCGAAATAAAAATCTTGGCCGAATCACAGTTAACACGTTGACAGTCACGCGCTTTATATAGTGCGCTTAGGGAGCCACAATAAAATTTCCAATATTCTTAGGATATAACGATGAATTATCAAACAATATGACGAAAGAGGAGAATATTCTTATTAATGGTGTATTTATTTCGTTAGTGGTCACTCGTGACCACCGTGGCGCTGCGGTGCATGTAGTTTTCTTACTAGACAATTTCACGAAGATGATCATGAATTTAAAAAAAAAAAAGAGAAATCACTATTGCCGATTACTGGTGATAGTCAATCTGTAAAAATTAATAATCGTGGAGTTGAAAAAAGACATTTCGCTACAACTGTCGCGTCGGCTGATAAATCGGTACACATTTTAAACAGATAGAAATATCAGTTCCGAAAGTTCTGGATCCTCTGTATTTGTGCGGTCATGTTACCGTATTGTTTCGTGTATCGCGCGATCACGCGAGAAAGGAGAAGGGGAACGTAAAGAAAAAGCGAATGTATAAAAACGTTCGAAATCTTTCTTAACGCCAAGTCAATACTCATATGAAATTAGTTTATTAGTTGTTTCGGTTGTGATAGTTGCGAAGCAAGTCGGAATAAACGTTGTAAATATACATACGTGCATTTCTTTCTTTTTTTTTTTTTTTTTTGGTCCAAAATTTGGATTGTAGATCAGGATGGAATAGATTCGGGACTGAGACTTACGTTAGATTAAGTAACGTAACGCATACGTGAGACAGAATTAGTTTGTATATATATATATATATATATATGTATATATATGTATAAAAAGCTGAATAATATCCGCAAATAAAACGTACGCACGTATTTTTAGTTTAAATCTAAATTGTACGTAAAAATTATGCTCAAGTTAAGTCAGATCCGAGTCTGATTTCACATGTGAGCTGTGGACATGGTGTGTGCTCACACGTGCATACGTTTCGGGCCATATCTTCTCCGCGTGCTCGATAACTTTCGTTTAAAAAACTTATCACAAATAGAGCGAATGTCAAAGTGTGTGAAAATAAATATAGGATGGGCTAAAAAAACATCACTTCCTACTAAGATAAAATTCGTAATTTTTTCGTTGTACATACATATTTCTTTTAATGAAAAAAATCATAAGTTCGAACTTGAATTTAATTAATTTTTTTTTTCTTGTGTTTTATTAAAAAAAAAAAAAAGAAAAAATAGGTGGGAAGAAACTTCTGGCCCGCCCTATAGAAATCAGCAATTCTATAAAAAGAAACGGTTACGGCCACGTGAAAACAGAGTGAAATCACAATGATACACTTCGTTGAAGGATGTATTCAAAGTTTTTTTCCGATAAATACCCGATGGGGTCAATGACACTTAAACTTGGAATTTCCTAATGAGTCACTTAATGAGTCACTCGTCACGGCGGGATCACAGTAGTAAAATTATCGGAGGTTAGGTTCAAATTGTCGTGTCGGTAACGTCACCGAGTGCCAATGGAATCGGCCAATGGCCTTTCTCCATTGAAACGGGGGATCGATGATGGCGAGTTCACAAACTTGGATCAGCGTCGAGTGTTTTTTCGAGTGCAGTGCACTCGAGGAACCTTGAGACCAGCGCAGCATCCACCTCTCGAAGAGGTGGAACCGCGTGCGGACCTTGAAATCGATCGCGCGTAAACGGTACAAACGGCGAGAACGTTTAAAAAAACGTTCGAATACACTCGGGTGTATAGAGGATTTTAAAGCGAACAGCTGGCATCGTATTTTTCGACACGCGAAACAAACATCTGGTTTGCAAAATGGCGGATTTAGAGCGTGGAAGCAACTCGACCAGATCGGCTTCGTCGAGTCGTTAACTTTTACGTTTTGTATCTTTCCTTGAATTTCACGTTTTCACCCATTTGCATCGTAACGAAGACTGAATATTATACTCAAGTAGAAAATTTTCAACAAGTGAAACAAAAAAAAAAAAAAAAGTTTGGTAAACCTTGAAATAATTTTGGCTACAAAAACGGGGTCTCCAGACCACTAGGCAAACTCGGGCAACGCTTGTTTCGTTCGTTTTCGATTGCGTGGATGAGATCGCCTGTTTTTATAGGCAGGCCGCGTTTCGAAACACCTCGGGGAGATTTAATGAACCGCACAGCCTTCAATGAGAGACCCAAATGTCAACTAGTGTCAACATGTTTCGCATTCAAGATTCTCGGGGCAATTTCCACATCGTATCGTTCACGTTAGCCGAAACTTGTCTCGAGATCGTTCCCACACACTTTCCCTCGACTCGGTCGATAACAGTTTCTCTTTCTGCTTTAACAGTAACAAATATTGCAATATCAGTTCAAATAAAAATTCATCGCAGAATTCGAGTTTTTCGTTCCAAAATTGCAATATTTTCTCAGTTTTAAGTATATATAAGTATATATAAGTGTAACCCGGGCAAAACAAATCATAAATTGATTACTTCTCAATAATTTCTATCCAGTGATATCACACCAACGAAAGCAACGTATTATTATATACGGTTCGGTCACTCGTTATGGTCCGCAATCAATTGCCAGCGCAAGTAGTTAAAGAATAGGGAATTACAAGTTTCCAGTTAAGTGTCCCGAAACTCGAGACCGAAAGTGGACACTTAAACGGGGAGATGTATTCCGCGAATTGGCATCGAAAGAAAGAGTGGGGATGAGCGTCAACTGTTTCACCGACCGGGTGGTAAAGTAGCGTAGAGTGGGGATGGTCCCAATTCCAAGAATTGGTGGGGATAGCGACAGACGCTTAAGTAAGAAGAAACGTCGATACTTAACTGGGGACTACTGTAATTAGGGGCAGAAAACGGATTGGTCTTCAATAATAATCGAACGATATAATAAGACAAAGTCAGCGGAATAGCTGAACCGCTGAACAGAAAAGCAGTCATTCAGCTATACACTAGATGTTTTATATAATTCATTAATCGACAAAAAAAAGAAAAAAAAACGAACTGCAATCGAAAATTAGACGTTTAATTATATAACGACGGTAAACGAGACTCCAGTAATTCGTGCCTTCTTACATACTTGATGTGATTGTGATTGGTTGCGTGAGTCTGTAATTACGAGCACGTAAGTCGATGTAAATCGACGTGTATTCAGATATGCATCGTTGAGATATGAAAAAGGAAGAAAAACCGATATACCTTCGTTCGTTTACTTTTCGAACCTTCGAAGATAATTTGACACTGTTGTCAGGTGTCCTTGTCTTATTTACTGAGACTCATTCGAAATTGCAAAAATGTTATTTACTGGGACTTACTCGAAATTGCAAAAATGTCATTTTTGGGGACTTAATCGAAATTGCAAATTTGAAATTGCGAAAATATTATTTACTACTAACTTACTCGAAATTGTAAAAATATTATTTACTGGGCCTTACCCAAAATTGTAAAAATATTATTTACTGGGACTTATTCGAAATTGCAAAAATGTCATTTTTGGGAACTTAATCGAAATTGCAAAAATATTATTTACTAGAACTTACTCGAAATTGTAAAAATATTATTTATTGGGCCTTACTCGAAATTGTAAAAATATTATTTACTGGGACTTATTCGAAATTGCAAAAATGTCATTTTTGGGAACTTAATCGAAATTGCAAAAATATTATTTACTAGAACTTACCCGAAATTATAAAAATGTCATTTACTGGGCCTTAATCGAAATTGTAAAAATATTATTTACTGGGATTTACTCGAAATTGCAAAAATATTATTTACTGGGACTTACTCGAAATTGCAAAAATGTTATTTACTGAAACCTACTCGAAATTGCAAAAATGTTATTTATTGGGCCTTACTCGAAATTGCAAAAATGTCATTTTTGGGGACTTAATCGAAATTGCAAAAATATTATTTACTAGAACTTACTCGAAATTGCAAAAATGTCAATTACTGGGACCTACTCGAAATTGCAAAAATGTCATTTTTGTGAAACTTAATCGAAAAAAAAGATTATTTACTAGGACTTATTCGAAATTGCAAAAATGTCATTTATTGGCAGAGAGTACACGGAATGAGAATGAAACTCACTGTTTAATCTTCTAAATTGGAAAACCGACTTTTAAAGGAAATTATAATCGATGACGGATTCAAGAAACACGTCACTCAGCTATCATTTATATAACATAAAAAAAAAAAGGATACGGAGAATCATTTTATCTGTCTCCGAGCAGGCAGATAAACAAGAAAGAATCGTGAGTGAGTCAGGTTTTACACCGTCTTTATCACGCGCGCAATTATTATGCAGCGTGTTAATTCATCGCTGGCCTAGAGACGTTTGTTTGAGAGCTGTATCCACTAACTTGCATACTTCAAAGATTTTGCAAACTTGTAAAAAGATATCGTTGACACAATGTGTATATATATACACACAGAGCGATTCTCAAATGCATTTCACGTCCGTATTTTATAGACGTAAATTTACAGATTTACAGAAAGTAAGTAAAAAGTGTCGTGTGAGGTTATGTCCTGCGTAGCTTATTTAGTTAAATAATTGAGGAAAATGTTCAATGCGTCCGGCTTGTGCCACTCGGCAGAAGCGAATATTTTTTTGTTAAAATTAAGGCTATTTTTAATTAATTAAGATTCAAGCGTGCTACAAGATATGTGTGTCGAGGCACAGAGTGCCACACATTTTCTTCAATTATCCATAATTTGTAAATTGATACTAGAACTAGGGACGTAATTCGAACAGTGAATTTTTTGCATTTCTTTAAATGAAAGTTTAACTTTCTAATTTTTTTTTTTTTTTTTAAAGCTTGTTCAAGCCTTTTAGGTTTGACCTTCATGTCAAAAATTCATTTTTTAAATAATAAGAATTACGTGTCACAGTGGTGGGGCATCAGGATTTTTTAGGTTAGGGGTATGGTCAAAAGAAGATTGAGAACCACTGCACCAGAAGTACGATTAAAGCATAAAATTTCCATCGGAAACACCGAAGACCAAAAAAAAAAAATAGAGAAACTTATAACACAATTGAGAGTATACAAGCTTTTATATATTTCACGAAAAATTATTTAAATCTTTAAAAACACACTGTTTTACGCCTATAAAATGTCTGACAAAGATTATAAAATTGGTAGTTCCAGTGTTAAGGTACTCGTTCGTTGATTTTAAAATAATTCACACGATATTGTTTACTTATTTCATCACGTTACTTTGTTTATTCATTCAAAGTGTAAACATTTAAGAATCACCCTGTACATTAAATTCGTGCACAAGTGGATACATGCACAGAACGTGCATACACGTTCCGAGTAACGTGGAGAAGTTTGTTGTACACGCCCATGAATCGAATTTCCGATATCGTTTCATTATAATCTAAAATTTATACAACGCGTGATTTCATCCACAGGAATTGGATATCACTTCTATTAATACTGTGTGCACGTCATATATATATGCACATGTCTTTGCAAAACATATGGCTAAACACTGTTTTAATATTTATGAGGCATATCGATACCAGAAAGATTTAATGAGACTGGATCTACGACAAACGGCGACAAACTCGAAAAAAGATGCTAAGATCATCTCTGATCGAGGATAAGACTAGGAGAATTTTGTAGAATAATAATCAAATATATCGATCACTAGATAACAAATTCGATTTTTAAATATTAATTCTTTATCATCTAACACAGTAACAGATAACTAATCTCTTTTGTTTTAATTTAATTTAATTTTAAAATTAATATCCATGTTTATAGATAAGTTATAAAATTTTCTTAAAAAAAAAAAAAAAAAAAAAAATAGAAACTGTTTTCACAAAGGATGAACAAACCAATTTATGACCAATTCTTTTTTTCTGTTCCAGCAAATTCATTGCGTGAAAGTTTCATTAATGGCGAAAAACTCCACGCTCGAGAAACGCCAAGACTCGTTGAACGATTCCGCAAAAATATTCGATCACCTCTCTCGGACTCTATCGATAGAAAATTTATACGTATAAACGAAGAGCGTCTCTTTGACGCTCGCTGACGTTTGTTTCACGTGTCGTTTTCATTTTCACCGAATCACTCAATGTTTTTTCCCACCGCATTTTTATGATAAATGCAACACAAAGGAAAACGAATGAGTTACATAAAGGAACGTAAGAAACGATTGGACAAATGATGAAACCATACATCATCACAATAGTTTATATCAGAGACCAATTATTGAAGAAGAAGACGGTTGATAGATCTCCCTGGGGTTTTTACGTCGTACGTAAACCGTGTGTTTCACCGTAGAGAAAAAGAAAGAGGGAAGAGTTTTTAAAATTTTCAAGCTCTGAAAATGAAATTTACAATTTCGATCGTAAGGGAACTACTTTTTCACGGTGGGAAAAAATTATGCTAGAGTTGCGCGTTGTTGCTCCTTCGTTAAACGCACTCGGATAATGGCACTCGAGTCCAAGCACGTCGGTGTCGTTCCTCTGGTTCGCCGGGAAAGTGTTTTCGTTCAGCTCTCCTTTGATGTTGTCGGAAAGGACGTTAATAAAGGCTTGTCCCTCGCGCGTCGTTTCAACGAAAATGCAACATTTTCTATTTTTTTATTTTTTTTCTTAATCGTCTACCACGCGAATAAAAGTTTAATTAATCGAAATTCTAAATTGTACAATCTGAGACACTTGACGATTAATCTTTCGCAGATAGGTTATGTAATTTACTAGTGCGAAAGACACGATCGATAAGATAGATTAAATAAATCGGTAACAAGAATGCAATGCAGTGACAGGAGTATCGATGTTCGAGAATTTCATCGATAACAAAATTATTACTGGGTACTTCGTCGAATACGAGATCACGTTTGAGGTTATACTACTTCACGTCGCTGAAATAAAATTGGAACTAGCAATTGGAAACACTTTACGAACATTTCTAGGGACAAATGACAGACCTTCTGGGAACAGAATGGTCGTGTTTGATTGGATTTCCGAGATGAAAGAAATTTTCGAAACGTCCGATTCAAACCTTGCGCACGAGATGTAAATAAACACCACCTGATCGACGAAGAAACGATTAGGACGATGCTAGACAATGCTCTGTTTCAAGCTACATACGTATATCTCTATTTTATAAAAGCGTGTGTATAAAACTCGAGGTAGAGACCAGTAGTACATATGTAGTAGTTGCATTCTTATTGATCGGACCGTTTTAATCTTATCTACATGACAGAGTTATCTAACTAATAAGCAGAAAACGTGAAACTAAAAAGTTGAGACCATCGTCACGTCGCTCTCGTAATATTTATTGTACTTACTATTCTTTCTTCGCGTGGAGTTCGCGAGAATGTTTTTCTTTTTTTTTTTTAATTATCTAACAAGTAAACAACAGGATACCCCTTGTAAACGCGGCTAAAGTTTATTTTTACCTCTTTCTCCTCCGAATAGATTTCATCTCATAGAATTCTACCGTAGAAGGTTCTCATTTCAAGTATGGCGAGAACGTAGAACTTTAATTGTATACGTGACGCGTCATAAACGCCAATCGTGGTATGTACTTGAATTAAAGTTGACCTCTTAGCTGTGAGTGACGAGTTATGCGAGGAAAGCAATTACAATTCGTTGCTCAAGTTAAATTTGTTCACGGGAAATAAAATTTACACATTTGTAAATTTTAGACGGTTCAGAATATTTTGAGACTAGGCTTGACTAGTTCTTTTTACGTCATTTCTAAATATTTTTTTTTGCTATTAATATTAATTATGTTAAACAATTAAATTATTGATTTTTCGAAAAAAGAAACTCTTTCTAATTTTTCAGCAGCTGCATTTGACGAGTACAATCGTCGTTCTAGCGACACATTTTTAAACACCACAGTTAAGAGGTTAAATTGCTGCGTAAAGACGTGTCATTCGGTTCTTCAAAATTGTCTCGACGCGATATTAAAAGAAGCTCGCCTATTACTTTTGGTAACAGTTCGATCCAATCGCGAACAAAATGTTTTTTATACATAAAATTAAACTTCAGACTACGAAAAACGACCCGTCATTTTCAATAAAATGTACAACGTGGATTCGACTCGGTTTTAATCACTTTAATCCAGAAACGACAGACGATAAATCACGCGCAGTTGATGGCAAAAGGAACTTCCACTTTGAGCAAAGCAATTTTCCAAAAGACGCGATATTGTTTCGTTTTCAGTTTCGTTACTCGCTAGTTCGTTTTTGACAGAATATCCAGACCAGATCTGGGTGTTTTGAAAAATTTTCAAATAACATTATCTTTAAATTACATTTCAAAGTTATTATTTCAGAAATCGTCTATTTGTAAAATAACGAAATTATATTGTTTCATATAAAAATTAAATTAATTTATTTTCATTTTCAATTTATCAAACAATTTATTTTGTTATTTCGTGATAACACACGCTAGTAAATTATATATATTCGATTTTCATTGATTAATTTTTTTTTTTCATCCGAGTATTTTCGTTCTCACTGACATTTATTCTGAATGTTATTTAAAAGACAAGTTTTCAATTACCTAACAAACCAATTACCTAATTTCTCATACAATCAAGTCGTTCTTCAATTTATTATTTCTCCAATATTATTTGCACAGCTTCAAACTCCTCTCCAATCGACTAAATAAGCTATATACCATTAATTGAAATCCATTATTTGCCAAATACTAGAAATATTATTTCAGAATTATTTATTTGCAAAATAAATTTCGCCCGCACGCACAGGTCTGATCCAAGCTCGATGCTATTTTTATACGTAACGTGATGATTTTTGTTCATACGTAATAGACGATTGAACACTCGTCACACGTGGCTTCGATAATTTGATACGCTGATAAACGGCGAGTGGAATATTCGACTGACTTTCGATAAATCACGATGGACAGCCAATGTTTCACGAAAAACAGTGTGCAACGATAACTCGCGAGGGTTGGGGGGGAGGGGGAGGGGGAGGGGGAGGGGGAGAGCCCAACTGGCACGACTGATCCCCCGAGTCAACGCGTTCCTCGCACGAAAACAAATAGTCCCCCGAGTTATCGATTCGAACGAAACCGATGGAGATCTCACTCTCTTCGTGTTGATGAAGTCCGACTATTGAATCGAAGAAGTATCGCGTTACGAGTAGGTTGGAAAGCAATTACAAGCTCGTTGTTTCATTCAACACTAGAACTACCAGCGGCCAAAGTGTAAGATCTGCAGTAGAGAGAAAATTGAGAGGCAAGGAACAGGAAAGAAATTTGCAATACGATAAAGAGCACGAGCTTCTATCGGCGTACTTTATTAAAAATCACTCGAGTCTCTAAAAATACACAGACGTTTATAAATTTTATAAAATTTCCACGAGGAAATTATAAACTGGTCATTTTTACCACTTTTGGTAATTCTAGTGTTAAAAAAAAATTTCAGTTTATATTTCGTTCATTGATCGTAACTAAACGAAATTTATTCTTTTTCAGATGGTAAAAAAATTACATTCTTGCTCTCGTTGTTAAAAACGTTGCTTAAAAACCATGATAAAAAAAGAAGAAAAGAAAAAAAGCACAGTAAAAATATACACCGCTCGTGACTAGGCGAGGGTTAAACAGTTATTGGTTGTGTGGTGGAACAGCACAGTATAAATATCACAATTAATTGACCACTTCACTTGATGAAAGTGTCAGGGTTCAAAAGCTTTAGATTCACTTTTGTCGTTAAGCGTCACCGCCTCGATTGTAACAAAAAACTTGCTGAATCTGCAGTTCCCCGTCGAACCGGATAACATTTCTCTACGATACAGATATACATCGTCCAACAAATCTATCTCCTTTGTATATTTACCTCCCTAAAAATTAACGATAGCGACGAGATACGTACATTGTCGAACGTGTTTCTCACTTTCACGGCGGGCGCCTCTATGCGAGTTCAGGTGTCACTTTGGTTATTTGCGAGCATTGCGTGCGCATGATTATCAGCGGCGTTCTATTTCGGTCATATAATTGTTTAAACGCTTGCATCAAATTTCTTGCCACCTTGTTTTTACAAATTGAAACGAGAGATGTAAACACGTCTCCGCAAGGACATGCAACATAACCGTGCCCGGAGATAAACCTAACCTAAAACTAACAATAAGTGGCGGTAAGTAAATGTCAACATTAAAGTAAGTGTCCCAAATTTTTCTATGAATATCTAACAGTAAACTAAAATTAAAATCGAGAGAGAAGTGTCGTACAATACCTAATTGCTAATTATCTGTATTATTGATGCAAAAACAAATTAATACTATCATTCTTGGCAACATATTCTAGCATCTTTTTCTTTCTCAATATTACCTATTATTAGGAGATATGAGAGATTATACATTAATGCTGCTATTTTTGACGACAAAAAATTAATTTTTCACGATGGATTTTCTTAATTTTCCAACAAGTAAATACTGTTGTATTATAATATGTTGTAATATTACGTTATATTTCTAGACTGTTAGGTATACGTAAGTGCAATTTCCTTTGTACATTATATATCAAAGCCGAGTCTTTTTCTACGTGCTTGTCATGCAGTATAGGACAAGTTTGAAAAAATTCTTTTTTTGATTAAAATTCTTATATCTTTTCTTCGTCGTTTTTTACAGAGAGAAAAATGTCTGAAGTTAAAGAGAAAAAAAGGACAACGTGAAAGCGGCCTTGAAAATGTTGCTCGAAGAGAAAACGACTATAAGGCAAGTCGTTCGAGCTTTCCACGTTCTAAGAAAAAAAAAACATCGATTAGTTTGCTTGTTGATATTTGTAAAGATATTTAAATAAAACGTTTGTCACGTTATTAATTATATAGATCTTAAAATCTATTATTTAAGTAGGTGTCCGGTACTGGACGATAATTTTTTATAACAAGTTGCGAATCAAGACTTTTTTTATTTATGCAAATTATTAATTCTTACGATAAAATTTAAGAAAAACTTTGTACCTTTTTACTTTAAATGTCATTTTTATTACGAACTTCCTTTCCTTTTAAAGTTTGATTTTTATCAAGAAGTTGGCCAAGTTATAATAGAAAAACTCTCAAGGTGTCTGGTTCTGTACGACTCTTCCCTATAGGAAAAAGTTGCAAAAATCATTGAAATAACTATCAAATTTTTGTATATATTATATATATTATTCTCTAACTTTTATCAGTCGAGAAGAATATTTTGCGAATTTTATGAATTTCATTCTGTATCTCTAAACTATATTTTGCGTTTGTATTTAACTTTTGTCATCAGAATGCCTACAAAAAGCGAGGAGCCTTGTTAAATGTAACGAAAGCGACAGTTGAAGCGATATTACTGCAAAATGTCCTAGATCAGAACGATTGGCGAATGATTTCAATGACGAGAACGACGATAACAATTTTGACGAATAGTTAAAACGCAATTAATGGAATTTTAGAAAGGTCACTGGCCTCCCGAACAGCTGTGAAAAGTGCACGCGTGAAACGAAAGTCCCGCCGTCGAGCAATTCTCATTCACTGGAATAAATTAGGAGTATCTAAACTCTGAAAAGTAAAAGTAAATATAAGCTTTAGACTTTTAGAACGTCTTTTCGCACATTTTACGATTTTTTACATCGTTTTCGACCCTGTGTTCGTTTTTTTATGCAATCGACATTTCGTCTAATATAAAGAAAGAGGTTATGTTCACGCAAGTAATCCGAAACGGATTATTTTTGTTTAACGGACTGTTTCATTGTTCGGTCGGTAACGTGACATGCGGAACACAGGAAGATCCTGATGACGAATAACGAACCTTGGCATAACGACTTTGCCGTGTGTTTTCCAATCAAGTAGTATACGAAGCAACTGCTTAGTTTTAGATGTAGATCGTGTTGCGCGCGCAACAATAAAACGCGCGAAAACAATAGAAGAGAGTACACACACAGTTGACACCGGTTCCACAAACAGACGTGTAATTCGTGCTAATTGGTTCGCAAGACAGCGAACAAAGGGTCGATGGTATCGTTCGAAATGTTTCAAGGATTGCGAATTGTCGCAACACGCGAATTGTAAACACGACGAGAGTATGGAATGTGGAGAATACAATGAGCAACTTATGTTTAAAAAGATAACACCTATTACGCACATCACGGACAATCACTACAGCTAGACTCGACAAAATTTGACTTTATTCCGGCTACCAATCAACGACGCGTATCATGTGAAACTATGTACATGAATCTTCGATTTAAATTTCGAATCATTATCGTTGCAGGCGGCAAGTTCGAACTGTTGAATTTCGTAGAAAGCTTCCAAGGAAGAAATCATGAGAAATGCATCGGGTTCGGATAACCCTAATTAACCTCACGAAACATGACGAAGTGGGGCAAATACTACGTGGAAAACTTTGGTATTTGCCTCGGTAGAAAGACGTGATTAAACGACGTGGATCTTTCATGTTCGACACCTTACAAAAGGCAAACAGGTGTTGAAATCAACTGGTGCTTTATTTTTAATACTCGTAATCTTCTTATTTCTTCTCTGTGATTAGAATCGATACGTTGGTGACGAACGAATGTTAAAAAGATAGTCAATAGAAAGTAACATACTCGGTTGTTATTTAATTAGTTTCACAATTATACAAAACGAAGATCACTTTTCCGCGAGCGCGATTTCTATATTATACAATTGAAAATACGCGCGCAATATGCTGTAAGGAAAGTATAAATAAATACGTATGTAATACAAATCCTGGAATAGAGCGTATTCCCCCCCGTTATCCGTTGAACAAACGAAACGAATAAACGTAAATAGCGATCTACGAACACTTTCGCAACTTTATTTAACCTTGAAAACGATTCGTCGAGATTTCGGGTGGAGTTAATTTTTCGCGTAATAAAACAAACTGCGCAATTAGGTACACCACGTATCCATGCATGTACAGGAGAACCTGTTGAGTGTATAATACAACGCGCAAGAGAGTACTCCCCCCACCGTTGGTCCAAGTTCGTGCCGCGGTCAAGAGCTATCGCTATTTTTCGAAAATAGAATCTTGGACTATACTGGATTATCAGACCCGATATGCGACTCGTTCTACTTTTAACCTCTTACGCTGGAATGACGTGCCACGTACGTCGAGAATTTTTTGTCCCAATATTTTCCAACATTTTCTCAATTTTACGTACATTTAAATGTAACCTGGGCAAAACAAATGACAATAATTCATTACTTCTTAATAATTTCTATTCAGCGATATCATACCGACGAGTTCAAAAAAAAAGCGACGAATTATTGTATATACGGTTCGGTCACTCGTTATGGTCCGCAAACCAGTTGCCAGCGCAAGAGGTTAACGATGCCTATGTATTTTTGGTTTCTTCGAATCAACTTTTCCATAGCTCAATTAGCAGACAGCTCGTCGTAAACGTCCGAGTTTCCCAACTATCGTACGAGAACAATAACTGGTTTCCACGGCAGAACTCGAACCGTTTGCGATATTTCTCGGGAAGGGGAGGGAAGGAAGGAAGGGGGAGATGTCCCCGTCCGTTCTCACTCGACTTTGTTTCTCTATCACTGACACAACGCACCGCGGGGCGCAACGGAAAGAAGGGGGGATGCGAAACCTTAAAAATCCTAGGCAAGCACGATCTTGTCGAAATCACATCACAGTTTTCTTTATATAAAATCACAATCTTTTAATTTTTTTTTTTCTTATAAAATCACAATTGACTATTCGTCAACCCTTTGAATTCCAAAGTCTCGGACTTGGAATCACGTTCGATTGATTAAACATTCCGGTTATCACTCTGCGCTATAAAAAAAAAAAGATTCAAAGAGTAAAAAAAAATCTTAAAGAGAAAAACGAAACATAAATTACTCGACGCCCGATTGGCATTTTCCTATGCGAAAAACTTACTATATACAATAACTATACACATATATATATTCTTTTTCCAATTTATCGCCTTGGAAACGTCAAAACTAAACATTACCAACGTTGAATTTCAAATCTTTCTTTTTTTTTTTAGAATTAAAAGTAAATCGACAATTTTCAATTGAATAACTTTCGTCCGTTCATCCTGATGAAAATTAGGGCAAACGGTTTAGTCGAGGTAACAAATGCAGAAAAACATTTCGCGACTACCGTGTTGAACGAAACGTAAAGTCGATTGCGAAACCAGCGCAACCGTGATTTTTCGTAGGGATCGTTTCATTAGAACTCGTCAATAATTTCGCATCGAGTATGCTATGATACGCGATGGCTTAAAGGTCGGCCTCGTTCCAGACGAGAATTTAAAAAAAAAAAAAAAAAAAAAAAAAAAAAAAAAGAAAAAAAAGGGAAGGCTACACACGTATATCGATTATTTACCAAGTGTAGTAATATCTTCTCCCCCGCGAACATAACCTATCTATCATATACAGAGATGTTTTATTGTTTACGTTTTATGTTTTTTTCTCTTTCTTTCGAAGAATATTGCACGAGAGAATGAGCACAGAATTACGAGCCGGCGGAGATGATATGTCGTCGAATAATTGGAAAGTTGCGATCACGCACGTGCCTACGTGCATGCCGTGATTATTGTTGTTTTACGTAAGCATGTTCGGTATGTACGTGTGCGCGTGCACACGAGCGCGTAGGCACCCTATTTAGCAAACGTCGTGCGTATACGGCGTATATTTTTTTCCCCCGTTCTAACGTAATACAAGTATAATAAGTACCATATGCGTGACAGCACGAGATGTCCGATATTACAAAACGCTTGCGGCTCGATGTGGACCTCCAACGTAGCGCTGCAGCTCTTTCCAGCCAAACATTTTCAGGATGTTCTATCACATAGACAAAAATCACAAAAAGATACCGTACGTATACATATGGTTCACTAAAAAGTTGCAACGAAAGAAGAATAGACACAGAGAGAATGATGCTTAGGCCTGAGCTTTTACGTTCAAACGACAAATCAAAGTCAACTTTCTTACGTCGATGGCCAACTTATCTTTTTCTTACAGCGTGACGATCGTAAATTTGTTACCGTTTCCTTCGCACATGCACATGTATTTATATCCACGGGACATCCCGAGAAAGTTTGGCCGGCAAAAATCGTAGCACTTGGTGTACGTGTGAAAGAAATGAAGAAAAAAAAAAGAAAGGAAAGAAAGAAAGAAAGAAAAACCAAAATCACTGGTTTCATATAGTACAGTTCAATATTTGACTTTTGCTTTAACCTCTTCCGCGATTCCGCCCCACCTGAGCTTGTAGACGCGCGACCGCCACTGTATCAGAGGATCTAGAACCGCCTGAAGGAAAAGATAGGGCCTGGTGATCTCGCTGAGTAACCACCCGCACACGAATTCTAACTTGTTGAACGGCAACGGGCCGTTCTGCACGACGCTCAACAGCGTCCAATCGAACATGAACCACAACAGTATGTGTACCAAGTAAAAAACAAGGGAGTCCCACTCGAAGAGTACGCTGGCCGCCCAGGAAGCACAAGCACCTAACACTAAACACTCGCTGAGCGGCTCGAGAACGATCGTCGTCGGCAGCATGGCCACCCGGAGCTTCGCCCACCGGCGCAGCCTCGCCTGGAACGAGTGCAGCTCGCAGTGGCCGCTGTTCTGCAACGCCGGCTGCGAGGAGACGGTGATCCGCCAGCCGCGGTCGGTCAGCGACTTGGCGTAGAAAAAGTCCTCGGCCAGGTAAACGCCGAACGTCTTCAAACCGCCGACCTCGTCCAGAGGCGCTTTCCTCAGCAATGCCGACATCCCCGTGTGACAGTTGATCCTGAGGAGGTCGGCGGCCAGGTACATGCGCGACTGCACAGTGCCGAAGAATATCTTCTCGTAAGCGGCAGCGAAACCCTCGCGGTCGCATGTGAACGGCATCTGATGCACAAGCGCGACGTTGTCGGTCATGTAGTTCACCATGTCCAGCAGCGTGTCCTCCTTCATCTTGATGCCACTGTCACTGATCAACACGTACTCGTGCTTCGCCGCCTCGTACGCCGGCTGCATGTTGTTGATCTTCGGATTCACGCCCACGTTGCAACCGCCGACGAACAGCCTCGCGTCCACCTCCGGGTACTTCTCCATCAGCTTCCGCACCAGCATCAGCACCGGGTCCGAGTCGTCCTCCACGCAGAACAGCAACTCGTAACGGGGGTACTGCATCGTGAAGAACGTCTCCAAATTGCTGAACAGATTCGGATCGACGCCCATCAACGGCTTTATGATCGACACGCCGGGCAACGGCGTCTCGTACGTTGGCACTTGGCTGACTTTACGGTGTAGCTTCCAGTGACCGGCGATCAGCGCCAGTGCGTGAACGATCCACATTACCGACCAGAATATCATGAAAAATATCGCGAATCCGTATAGGGTATATATCATGGAGTTCATCTTCGAACGAGAATCCTCGATGACTCGGAGGCCTAACCTCCGGAGGATGTGAGAGGGGGGGGGGGAGGGAGGGAGGGAGGGGACTGGGGAGGGAGCGGGAGCAAGGGGCTCCTGGCTCACCTCACCGCTTTGTCTTTCTTTCTCTCACTCACTCTCTCTCTTTCTCTATTTTTGTCTCTTTCTTTCTCTATATCCTTGTGTATCTCTCTTTCTCTCTCGTTTCCTCCGTGATTATTCGATCCTTTCGTGCCTATCGATCGGAGCGACGATCTGAAAGCCCGCCATCCTTCGTGGACGTCCGACAGACGATATCCGCGGCATCATTCGGCGACGTTCTCATGGTGCCGCGATCACGGGCATCGGAGCGTGTCGTGGACGAGGAGTTGCGCGGGCCATCGATGATGCAGCGTTTTCGGTGATTTCCACGGTGATGCGACACCGTGTTTTCACAACAACGGCGGCGACGGCGACCGCGACGACGACGACGACAACGGATACACGACCACCGCTTCCAACACATTCACGCGCCAGGTTGCCCCTACGCGGCTCACGGGGTAGATGCGTGGAATGACCGCGTCCACCGCTGCGAGGTACTTGACAGAACGCCGGCACACGCTCGCCGACGGACGTGTTATACCAGCGTCATATACACGTCTTTTCTTATATATTTATATGTATCTCTCTTACTCGCTTCTGTTTCTCTTTATCGCGTTTTATTTTTCACTATGTCCAGGACAACGACAGAAGGCTCGCCCTGCTGCTGCCCGGTGTGTCGCCGCGCACACCGGTCCTCCCTAATTTTCCACCGAAGCGTTGAACTTTCTCGCCTTTCACGCACGTCTACGTAGCCTCGGTGACACCGAGTTGACCGATCGTCAACGTAGTACATACGTTCCCTTCGACTTCGAGCTCCTCGCTTGAATCAATCCTCGAGCGACGCGTTCGCAGCACGTCGGTTGACGTATAGAATTCTCTCTCTTGCCTCTCTTCCCTCGTCGCTTTTGCTCCTTCTGACAACCGTGTTTCCCGATGCTCGTGTGTTTTGAAGAAGCGACTGGCTCACTAGACGCATCTGACGTGTGACGACCGCGAATAACAGCGGTTTGAGTTTCGGTTTGCGTTCTCGTTCACAGGCGACTACCTCCTTTCATAACGATGCGCCTACGCGGCCTTGTTCCGTTCCGTTTCGACCGCGACTACGGCACTGCCACCGCCTACCGATGCGTGTGCATGTCGATAACCAAACTTCGGTTGCCTCGGGACCCCGACTGGCGAAACGGGCGAGCCAGGCGGCTAAAAAGGGAAAAGAAAAGAAAAAGAAAAAAAGAAAGGGAAGAGGGACAGCGCGTTCGCACGACCGAGTACGTCTTTCACGTAAAACGACGCACCGCCTACGTCGACGGGATAACTGGCTGCATGTGACAGCCGGCAGCTCGCACCGCTTATCCGCTACTAAGTTCAGAGTGAATATAGCGCCGATGGTCTTGCAGCGGACTGACGTCTGCCGCGCATAACTCACCACTTTTTTAAGAACAATGTTAATCGTTATCGTTTGCCGTTATCGCGGCAATTTTCTATCGCGTTCTCATTGATCGGGAACAGACACAGTCGAACTATTATTTCCGTTACTTTTCGCAGGTATTCAGTTACGTATGTATATTTTGCAAAGTTCGTGGCAACAGTTTATTTATTTTTTTTTCTTCTTTCTTATTATACTAAGTACTAAGAGTTTCTAATCTTTCCAGACAGAACGTGGACAGAATTTACGGTGTCGGTTGTAAATTATTTTTCAAAGTCATTCGCAAATATTCTTTTAACATTCTCTTCTCTGATTGAAATTACGAGTCTCGTCGATAACACCTGTTATGTCGGTGAAATTTGATTTATTTCGTTAGTAAGACGTAAATTTTATAAAATTACACACCTGTGTGTGTTCTGGATTACAAGATTCTCCAATAGTCAGACGATCGAACGCGAACTTTAGCTGCCTGTTGATCTTGCGATCAAATTATACTTACGTCTTTACCGAGATAATTTGGAGAGGAACTTCAAATATTATCGCGCCAAACTAACGAATTTATCAAGAATATCTTTATCGCATTACTTGAATCAACCATCTATCGGTTTACATGGGCGTAACAGTGCAAACATGCGTATTAAGTACACAAGGGATAAAGAGTTGAGAATTGTGTCATACATGATTATCGATCATTTTTTTTTTTTTTTTTTAAGAAATGTGATTTAAAACATTAAATATAAAAATGTTTTTATACAATAAAAAATTTACATTAAGCAAGATTCTTATACACGTAAAGACTTATTTCTTTTTTAATTTATTACTTAATTAAACACTTTTTATAATTTAAGATACTTTTATGTACATGTACAAGTTTATCTTTTTTATGCTCTAAATTTTTTAAACAGCGGATGTTTATTTGCCGTGGACGAACTGGGAGCCTTTTTGTACTCGTAATAAACTGCATCATCCGCGCCAGACATTGAGGTCATGTTTCCCGCTTTGCGAATAATCTGGAATGATAGTCCAAGTGAAGTAAAATACGTGACAAACTACATAATATTTTCTTTAAGATTTAACGTCTTACAGGTCTGGGTCCTTCTCCGGGTATCCTTTCTTCATCCGCGTCCATGTCGCTGGCAGATAAGACTTGTTGCAACAAATGACCCTGTTCTTCTCGGGACGTGTACATCAGATCTGGTTCCTATTTTGATGATAAAAATCTGAAGTAATTTTTACAGAATCCTCACTCAAATGACAATAAGCGATACGCACCTCTTCCATTCCTGCAAGTTTTGTAATGACTTTGTAAGCATATCCTTGATTCACGAGAAAACGCTGCCGCTTTCTCGAATAATTCATTTCCATCGTATCTTGCGATACCAGCGTATAAAAGAACGCGTTGTATTCCTCCGCGATGGCACCTATAAAGAAAATTAACATTTAATATGTTTAATACAATTGTACAATTAAAATAATTTTTACAAGTACCTTTCTTAGCTCTTAAAATTCGACCCAAACGCTGCGCTTCCTGACGCCGTGAACCGCCGTGCGAAGATATTTGAATCAAAACATTAGCTTCCGGCAAATCGAACGAAGTATCTGCTACTTTACTCACAAATATAGTGTTCACTTTAGTATTGAATTTGAAGTTTTGCAAAATTTGTATTCGCTCGCTCTGGAATTATTTGCATCGTTATGTATCTGGTGATCGATACGACTTTCATTTTTTTTATTTACACTTACTTGACTGGTGGGGCCATAGATGTATGGTTTGTTCATTTTAATGGCATAGTGCTTCAAGGCAAAGACGTTATCTGAGAAAACAATGGTTTTATCGCCACGTCTCTCGTGATATCGTATCAAATACTGGCAGCAACGAAATTTGTTAGGATTCATTACATAAAGTAACTGCAAATGAAACAGCGTACAGAGATTGTCAAACATATCAAATTAAATTAAATGTGCGTTATTGATTTTAACGCATACCAATTTTTTGCTCATTTTGCAACCGAGATATTCTCTATAAAATTCCGGAGTCATGGGACACCAAACTTCGGCGCACTGTACTCTTGCGATGAAGCCTCTTTTTTGTAATTCCAGCCAGTTAGCCTCGTACAGTTTAGGTCCAATTAAAAAATTAAGATCAGCAATTTTATCATCTTCTCGAAGCAGTGTTGCGGTCAGTCCCAATTTACAATGGGACTGAACAATTGTCAACACCCTTCTGAACATCTTTGCAGGAATCGTATGTACCTCTAAACACATGATAGATGTTAAATCGTGAAAAACTACAATTTAATACAAGTTGAAAAAGTATGTTACCATCCAAAACCATTATTCCCCACTCCTGTTCTTGAAGCCATCGCATAGTTTGCTCTGCTTCCCATGAGCGTTTCTGCGTATGAGTGATCATAGAGTACGTCGTGATTAAAATTCCACAACCCATGGGCTTGTCCTTGGCCTCGCTCGTGAATCGACAAATCATCGAATCATCTGCGGTCGACCACATTTTGAATTGTTGTTTCCACTGTTCTACTGACACCCCGGAATTACACAATACCAATGCACGTTTCCGAACTGTGCAACAAGCTGTCACGCCGACTAAACTTTTGCCAGCACCGCAAGGCAAGACTATGACGCCTGATCTAGCACGCCCATTTCCGAACATTTTTCTTAAACTCTTCTCCTGGTAGGGTCTCAACACAGCCGACGGTTTCAAGTCAATGCTAAAATACAATTTATCAATTTTTAAGACATATATTTCTATCTACATTGAACGCAATTCTGTTATACTATTCCATTGTACTTTATATCTGGATTTACGGTATCGTTACGGAAGTCATATTCTGCTAACAAGGGATACTCCAACTCTATACATCTTTTTTGAATAATTTCAATTTTTTCCTGCAACACAATTTTTCATAAATATTCAAAATAACGAAAGTTCATTCGTCACAATAATTACGATGGAAATTTCATACCTGATTTACTTCGAAACTAACTGTCTTCAGTTCTTGCTCTTCTTCCTCGTCTTCATCTTCTTTGTCCATTTTGTCATAAAAGGTAGTTATATCTTCAGGAACAGCAGCTGCTTCTGCTGGAACTTGATCGTTAGTTTCTGTTACTTTAGTGACTCCAGTTGGAACGTTGGTCACTGCTTTTGCTCCAAACTGGCAAAAGAAGAAAATATTAATACTGTATTTTGTCAAAATAATTGCTGTTGATATACAAGCAGCGTTACCTGAGGTGCTTTTGTTTTGTTCTGAATGTTTGTAATTATCTCATCCTCTACAGTATTCTTCAACCTGCATTCCTGAATTACAGGGTCCTTCAGTAATTTTTGCAATACTTCTGGATACGGAGATTCAACGAAATACTTATTGTGCTTTAATACTAATTTCACCTTGCCGTATGACAATGTACACAATTTTATAAACTCTATAATTCCATCAGGAACAGTGGTTTTACTTAGTCTTTTCAAATATTCTATTATATCGTGTGTTTGAAGACCGACACTAACAGCAGCATATAAAGAATAAGCGGTCAATTTATACTAAAAAAGAAAATTTCAATTACTGAGAGTTTCATTATATTTCATATTTAATAAATTTGATATTTGTAATTATATCTTTACCTCATGAATATGTTCAGGACGACACACTGGCTCTGAGATAGCAATTAAAAAGTCATGAGCATGTTTATATACAGGGGAAAAAGATTCCAAAAAAATATGTCCATTTGGTGCCTAAGAAAGTTTAGACAACAGTGCAATTTAAAACATAAAATTATAAGAAATCAATTGACATTAAAATTAGTATTACCACCCAAAGCGGCCTTAAAACACAATCTGGTTTTAAAACCATTTGTGCTCGATAATCCTTTGCACCAAATTCATCTTCCAGTGCTGTATCATCTTGCTTTTCAACGTCATTCTTGGCTGCATCGGGTATTCCTTCAGTTTCATTGTCGTCTAAAGTATCATCATCATTGTATTCTTCTGGATCCTCTTTACGTTTTTTCCATTTACCTCTATCTATAAAAATAAATGACAGCTATTGTAAATAACGTCAAATAATTTATAATAAAAATGATCTCTTTAAAATATATTTTGAATAATTTCAATTAACTTCAATTTAAACTCAACAATTTTCAACTCAAATTATTTTAGTTTATAGGTAAAAATTGCAAAATTTTTATAGAAAAAGAAAGTAGTTTCATACCATTATCTTTTTTGAAACGTTTTGGTGGACCCATTGTTATTTAACAACTTAATTGTTGGATTGTCTAAATGGTTTACTTTAATGTTGACTACTATTATCTTTCATTTATTTATCATTTAAATCAAAATTTTATGCACTAACAATACTCGCACGTACAATCACATGTACTGTTCATTTAATTGTTTCCATGATAGTAGGTAGCGAACCTAGAACATGTACACAGTCGAGAAAATGATTAACCATAGACAAAATGTAACATAGATGTAGCATACGATGCAACTTTTCGATAGATGGCACCTTACGTTAGATAGATGAAAGTTAAAGAACTTCAGATTTTTAGTAAGAACTTTTAAGATATAACAAAATATATTTATATTATAAATAATCATTTTAGAATGTTCTTCACATTAGCACTTTACAATTTTAAGTTTTAAATAAAGAAACATTTTTACTTATATCATTAACATTTTGAATGTTATTTATTATTCACATTCTGAATGATGACCACTGATTAATTTGATCTTTTGCAACTATAAATGTTGATAAATTTTATCATATATGCAATATTGTTGTTATTTAGAAATTTACAAAGAAAAACATAATTTTCCTGTATCAGAAAAATGTTTTTTATTGATAAAACTAATAAAAAAATATAAGGTCAAATTTTACAAATCGTGATGCGATAATTAGTTATTTATATTTTTTGCTTTATGCACTATCAGTGCAGTTTGTATCAAGAGTTTCCTTATTGACTAGATCCAAGGAAAAAAGACAAACTAAAGCAGCACCTTGTTCCGCCCATTTTTTATTTTTTTCCCTAGAATAAGTCGAGACACGTTTTAAAACACGATTACACTGATAATGTAAGATAATGCAACATAATATATAATTCTATCCATTACCAAAAGGAGGATCCATATTTTCGTCCGTCGACGGTAACGATGGATCGAAATAACTTTCCTTTCTGCTGCGTATTGTAGCTTGGCATCTTTTTCCTTTGAGTGTGCGTCCATTTGTGTAATATCGTTTTTGGTAATTCCAGATCTGTTACGTAATTGTTTCTTAAGAATGCACAATGCATTAAAACTACGTCTTCTTCCTCTGAAATCTTTCTTTTATTAGACAGCTGTCCCTCATTCTGCTTTTCATCTTCTCTCATAGGCGAGACTTGAGATCTTCCCAACAAACCTTTCTCTTCAAATTCTTTTTTCTTTAATTGGCAATAATCACTTAAAGCCCATAAATCACTAAAACAAAATGTTAATCTTGTGATAAATATCGTCACAATTGCTTTAACAACATAAATCCTACCATATTTGCTCCAAGGTTTGAGAATTAAGGAACTTTCTGCCTAATATTGACTCCTGTTGTTCTCTAAGTATATTCTGTATACAGTACTTAGTATTGGAAGGTGGGTTATCACAATCCACGGCGTACTTTAAATATGATTTTATCACATCTTCCATGGGTAGTAAACCTTTTTTACTGAATATTGAACAGTTCCATTCAGCTGCACGCGCAAGCATCACGCTGTTGCATCCTGTTATTTCTTTAAATCTGCAAATAAATAACTACAATTGTCTTTAAATATCATACACAATGTACACGTTATGAACGTGACAATATATCTCACTTGGAAATATCAGAATATTTCTGTATTTCTTTTGATCCTCCGTTTGCTATAACTGGTATGGACAGTTGTTCTGAAATTTTCCTCAAGACCTCATTACGATTCATATGTTGTGGTCTTTCATTAACGGTACGACCATGAACCGCAATTGCCGATATACCGGTCGATTGTAAAAGCTCGCAGAGCTCCAAAGTTTCATCCAAATCTGGCAATACACGAATTTTACAAGTTACAGGGATGTTCAGATTATCTACTAGAGTCTTCAAGATATTCACGGCTATCTCCGGTTCTTTCAGGAGGGCTGCACCCATTTTCCCTACCAAGGAAAATAACTTGGGACAACCCATGTTCAAATCAATCCCGGCAACGTCTTGCTCTACCATCTTGGCCACTTTCAACGCTCTTGTTGCATCGCAAGTGCCAATTTGCAAAACTACTTTGTCTCTCTCTCTAAGACACGTTCGGAAGGTCACTGTACCATCTGTTTTATCAATGTAATCGACGGTCCCTAAAACGTCTAAAGAAAAGTCAATAGAAACAGCCTGTTTAATCTTCCAAAACAAATAAACTTCAATGAACGTTGTACGCAGCAATACTAACATTTTCTTACCGTTTTCACGACGAAACGACCGTAACAATTTCCAGTCTATTAACTCCTCTGTGTACACTATATCAGCACCATAGTCAAGCGCAAGAAGACGCATTGGAAGGGTACCGATTCGTACCATAGGCGCTAATATAAGCTTATTCTCGTAGTTCAGTTTCTTTCTTTCCATAGTTATACCTGCCTTTTCGTTCATTTTATTGTCAGCACGTTGCTGATAATAAAATCTTTATCGCGACGTGCCAAGGCGTTTTCAACGATTCTCATAATTTCTTATACTGGTATTTCTGTGGACACACTATCAAGATGAAAATATTTCCTCCCTGAGACATTTCTATTGTAAAAAATCAAGCAACTTTTTGTGTGTTCCTTGAACCACTGTCACGTATGTTGTCCCTTCTTTTTGACAACGATGCATGTGGCACTGCTTTAGGATTACTCGAGCTAGATGGCGGTCCCATTGTGTGCACTGTACGCCTAGTCGTTCAACCACCATAACTAGAATCTCATATTCCATGTCCGATGATAGTGTATACTTTCAAATTTGAACACTAAGATCGATCAACTGTCAAACAATACGGTTGTGAGTCGGGGAGTAATATGGTACAATCTTTCGATTGTTTCACTAATTTAGCGACTGACAAATCGCTAGGAATCATCATCGTGTGCGAATTATATACGTGAGGGATCGGTGATCGTGGCGATCGGATAACAGACAAAGGAAGCTTTGATAATGTTTACACCGTTGAAGCCCTCAGGGGCAGATCTTACCGATGTGACTATATTAAATACACCTCAACCACAAGCAACATCAACTGTGCAGAGGAAAAGCACGTGAGTTCATCCTGTCTACAAGTTTCATTCCGATAGTCAATTTGAGCGATAGAGATAATTAATTTTAAATAATTTAACTTAATTCAACGTACAGTGTGATGATGTTATCTAAAAGAAATGAATGACTCTTTTTAGATTGGAAATCAAAGACAAGGATATTGAAGAAACTATTTCCAAACAGTTTATGATAGATAAAAATGACACGGCACAGAGGTGTAACGAATCGTCACTTGGGATACTTAAGAACATGTCTTCCTGTAAGTTACTATGTTCTCTACTATTATAATGATAACCTTGGCAAATAATGGGTCTTTATAGTTTTAGCCGAAATGAGTGGCATAGAGGAAGTGAAAGTCACTCAAGATGAAAGTAAATTGGACGCGGAACTTGAACTTGCTAGGAAACTGCTTCAGAGGTGTAGCAACATAAAAAGTACATCTATTACATCTGGTAAGAATCCCAATTTTCTAATTGTAATTCTCTCTTTGTAAGTTATTTAACATGATCTCTGATTATCACAGATACGAGTAAAGAGAACAATACGAACATTCAGAATGTATCAAGTAATCTCACTCCTTCGACATTAATCGATTCCGCTCAATTAATTAGCTACAGTCAAATTAATCCACAGAATGAAAATACTGTGCAATCAATTGTTAATAAAAAAAGCAGCGTGAGTATAATTTTTGTTACCAAGAATTAATTCGAACAATCTTTCAAGTGTGTTCATGTGTAGGTCGTTTTCGAGCCAAATGAAATCACTGCCCGTTCATCCGGATTAAGTAGACATTCGGAGAAACGCTTGTCATCGTCAGTGGCATCAAGTAAAAATTTGAACCAGATAATATTTGACACAGCGACCGCTGAATTTATGGCTAAATTCAATAGTGAAGATTTTCGTTCTGCTTCTGACATGGCCAGTCAAATGCTAGCTGATGAAATGTCTTGGCAACAGAATTATTCCTACGCACTTCCCACAACATCTGCTACCGAAAACGATTGCTTGAACCTGTCTTGTTTTTCTGGCATTACCGGCGAACAAGATTTATTTATTGAGTAAGCATTACGCAATTACAAATATTTTGCGTGGCAAATGTAACACGATCAATTTTTCATTAGGGGGCGCAAAGTGTCTGTGAGCGAATATTTTATGAGAAAGTGTGGACATTTCGGAGAATTGTCAGATGCGGGGATAGAAAGGCCGAGTTTGGGTCTGTCCGTAAGCAGCCCGCCCAGAAAGAATCAACCTATGGCTTTGGTTGATTCAACTTGCACCTCTGCAGTAGGAGGTTATTATCTGCATTTGTTGAGACAAATTTCTTGTGAATAATCTAAAAGATTATTCTTTTATGTAGATTCCTCAATCGGATCCAGCGTCATGCAGGATAAAACTCAAAATATTCCAAACATAACAAAGGACATAGAGGAGCAAAGTATTATGAGTTTGACCAGTATTGCTCAAGCGCTACACGATATCGATAATGGTACACCGCGGAGATTGGTGGATCAATTGATTATGGCAAAGAAAAAAAAGAAAGCACAAGTGCAGAATGAAAATACAATTGCACATACTTACACACTGCTGTCCAACAGAAGGTCCATGCCTGTTACTCCGAGTAATAATATTGATGATTTCGGAAAGAATATGACATTGCTGAATTATTCAACAAAATTATCTCTCGATAGTAAAATGATCAACGAATCTATAGATGTTAAACACTCTGTCCCAAAGATGCTGTCGCTTGATTTTAACTCGGACGCGAAAATAAATTTTGAGACCATTTCTCAAGAGCTTAAGAAAGAAATGAGTATTGAAAATCGCACTCACGAGAGAAAATCTGTCGATCTCGAAAAGGAGGAAATAGGACAGAAAGAAAATATAAAAGTAGAAAATGTTTCGTATGAAGATAAATCACAGAGTTATATACAAGACTTTACGAATTTGCAAGAGTCTTATGTCAATAGTACGATGTTATAACACAATAAGTATATAATCTATAATTTATATTTATTCGTTTTGTAAGTTACTAATCTTTATTTTTTGCAGATGTCGTTATTGGTAAAAATACGGAAGAGCTATGTAGCTGCATCGTTGGTATATCTAGAGAAGTAAACATTGAACTATTAAATAAAAGTAACAGATGGGTCATTTATACGTTAAGTATAAATCAAATTCAGGGGGAAAAGCATAATGTACGACTTACACTGCCGAAAGATGTTATTCTTATAAAACCAAATGCCGAACAATGTACCAAGGTAAAGGAAGAAAATTACGAATGATATAAAAGTTAAAGTGCAATTATTTCAGATTAGCGTGACAGTGCTGAAAATGTGCAAACCAATCATAACAGTTTTAAACATAACAGTGTCAGACATGGTAACAAGAATCGAATGGATTATGAAGCATATTATTTGCATCAAGCCTGAGGAAGTCGATATAAGCGTGTCAAATCTTACTCAAAAAAAGGAATTAGACTTTCAATATATTGCCGAAAACAGCACTGCAGTTTTGCCTGTTACGATAAAAAATAAGAACAGCGTCGATGTTCCTATTAAACTTTCTATACTGAAGGTGATAATTCCATCTAATTAATCTCACATGAATTTATTTTCATGTCTTCTATTCCTTTTTTTCTTTTTTTTTCTTTTCTTTAATGGAATGTAGAATGAACTAGCGATATTTAGCTTAGAAAATCAAGAAGAATTACAACATGTTATGCTTAAATCTCAAGAACTGCGTGCTGTAAATGTTCAATGCAAAGGTATCATGAAAAAAGATACTGACACGCAGCAACAATATTTACAATGTCATGCCGGTACATTGATGATTCAAGCTGGAGATGCTTCAGAGGATAATGTGACAGTCCAGGAAATTCCTCTCATTGTGCAAGTAGGAATTTACAAGATACAAACGATTGATACAGATTTACCTCTGGTTGTCCCTCATAAACAAAGCAAACCCTTGTCCGTGATTAATCTTGGCACGATACCGACGCGAATATCAGCCTCGTTTGTTCAAGAAATTGAAGTATCAGACATTTCGAAACATTTCTCAGTGGAACCAGAAAATTTACTTGTGCAACCGAACGAAATTGGCTGCTTTTTTATTACATACAAGCAACAAGTGTCGGACATTCCTAAAATGTGAGAGGATTATTTTGTAAATTTATTACAAAATATCCTAAATCGTTTTTCGTTTATTTATTTACATTTACAGACACGCGAAGATTAAATTAACCACTGTTGAAAATGCCCACTACTATTCTATAATCGGAGAATCAAGCTTACATACCGAGGCAGAAAATGAAAATATTGCTCGATGTGACACACCTCAGTATTTACCATCTGTTAGTTCTCCATCGTCTCCACACAGCGTAGTTTCAAACAAGTAAATTTAACATTAATCATTAATCTTACATTATAATTTTTCCAAAATTTTAGCTATTGATACTTTATGCGATGATAGATCAGGTATATCTGGCAGAAACTCGCCTCTTAGCTCGGTGTCTGGTTCAACTGTTGCCGGCGATAAAATTCCTATAAGAACAACTCACGCTGCTTTGATATGGAATAGCGTGAAAACAGGGAAATCGGAAATCAAGGAGTTCACTATTCGTAATACTAGCAACAACAAGATCAAGATACAAGCTGTCATATCGGACAGTGAACAAAATTTTCGGGTAATATTTTTCATCCACTGTATAATGTTTATTATTTTACAAAACTGCATTTATAGAAACGTTTTTTTCGGATTTTTCTAATTTTTTCAGTTTCTTCGAGAGCGACAAGCCGTTGGTACGACGATAGTGTTGGTTTTGCAAGGCTCGGAGAGTAGGACGTTGTCTGTTGTATTCAGTCCTCATCATATAGGCACAGCTACTGGGAAAATAATATTTCGACATTATGAGCCAAAAAGAGAAGGTGCTGTGTCTGGACCTTCGAAAGTGGTAAATAATGTGATGTTGCCTATTGAAATTTCTCGTAAGCTAATTAATATTTGAATCAATTTGTACCGTGTTATTTGCAGCTATTTCTATACGGTTACGGGGGCTACAGCAAAGTTGAAATTTCAGAAGCATTTAAAGATCCAAGTGGAAAAATGTGGTTGTCGCTTGGTATTTTAAATTCTGGAAGCTCTCTGAATGCAAAAATCAAACTGCAAAACATTGGAGATCTGTGTTCCTATGTTAAAATAAAATTAACACCTAAAGGTATCTTGAGTGTATGAATTACATGTGAATGATCGCTTACTATTCACTAAATTTCTCAACAATTCTAGCTGTGTATCCTACTATGGCATCGAGCTGGCAAGTAAATCCAACTGAATTGTTGCTAAACCCCAAAGAGGTTCAGTGGGTGACTTTAGAATTCCACCCGCGAAAGGAAGACTTAATGCTACTGCAACGATCTAATGTATCACAAGCTGGGACCCTGTTAATCACCCATGGAGATGAACCTACTCGTTGGCGAATTCGTAGGTGAGTAGTGATACATTTACAAATATAATTATCCTGCTCTAAGTTGTTATTAATTAAATCTTCTATTATTACTAATTAAATCTTCAGATTGTATAACAAGATGAAAGAAACAGGCGAATTGAGCGGTAGTGAAAATGAAACTTTTAGAAACATAGTTCATCCATTATGTAAAGTCTTTTCTGGAGAGCAATTCATGTCGGACATAAGTGCCATACGAGATTCAGTGGTAAGTAACAAAGAGTTTAATAATTGTTGAACTATTTATAAAAATGCATGTTATTCAGCATAATCTGGGGGATCTTTGTCGAGGGATTCGTCAACATGAGGTAATGTTAACGGTGGAAATGTGCGCCGACGAGACTCTATCTGTCCTCCATGACAATGTCGACGAATCGCAGATGTTTCACTCTCTGTGTAGCGATAATAGTCATATGTACGAAGGAAATTCAGAGAGTTTTATGCCTTCGGAGTGAGTGTATTCGAATGACATTTTATAAAACATCAATTAAATTAAAAATTAAACTGATATTTAATTAAAAACTTCTTCAGAACTTTTTTAGGAAATAGTACGCTCCAAAATGATCTCAATACAGATAGTTTTATGGTTAGTCCATCCGTCATAGTCTTAAATCCACCGAGTAAAATGGAAGCGATTGTAACGTTAAGAAGTTCCAGTACCGTGGCAGAACCGTTCGAAACTACTTTGTCAAATACGGATTACTTAAAAGTCGTTCCTGCCGAGGGAATGATACCTACAAGAAGAGACTTTCAGCTGAAGATACAGTGTAAACGAAAGATCGAGCGGAACTTTAATGCAGTTCTTGAAATTTTGACTGAGAATGGAAAATACGATGTACAAATAAGAGTGATTGTTAAATAATGTAATGTAATGTAAATTAATCTTTTTTTATTGAAATATTTATTATACAAAACACGTTACAGCTTTTTAATTTTTATACAGACAGTATTTTTACTATCAATAAATTAATTTTCAATGAGTTCCCTACTTATTCATATATTGCCTTAAAATATTGTAATGTACAGTGTTGATCTTAAACTCTGTGTTGTTTTGCGATTGAAGTGCTTGTATTATTTGGACCATATTCTCCACGTCGTTTATGCCGGAGTGCAGTGTTCCTATTATCGGGAGATTGAGATACGAGAGCATGTCCGACAAGCTTCGTGGGTAATAATCTGTCACGTCACAAACAACATTTTTCAAGTTTATCCACTTCATGAATTGCTTGGGCAGAGGTATGTCTTCCAACTCGCACTGTTTTGGCAGCATGTGCTTCAAGTCCCAGTCACCGCACGTGACAAACGTGGAATCGTTCCCGTCTTTGAAATATTTGTGCTCTTCCAGCCAGTCGCAAAACTTTTCAAACACCTCTGGAAAGTGAGGTTGATTTTCTACCATATCCTGCACGATTCCGGTGAGCTCTGTGCAAAACGGATCGAGCCGAGGATGGTGCTTTGGCTTGATGTACTCGTGAAAAACGTTCTCCACCTCCCAGCTTGTCGTGGACACCGCCGCGCAGGGAAGTTCGATAATTTCCTGAGGGTCAATCTTTTCATACTTCTTGCAAGTGCATTCAAAGTCCAGTACGAGCAAATAGTTGAAAGGTTGCTTGGCTTCTTTGTTCCCTTTGTAAATCGATCGAGGATATTTCGTGAGAAGTCGTGTCGCCATTATTCCATTGAATTGTCTTTTCAATAAAAAAAAGACAGTTACCAAGATCGACTAAGTAGGGTTAGGACGCTTAACTTGTACATATAACATCAAAGTGTCGCCATATTTGATACACAAACGTGATAGAGACCACTTGCGATGCTTTATTCACAATGCCTTTACTACTTCCGGTTTACGGTTACGATTGAATATCGTTTGAATATCAATTTCGAAGTTACTCGATATCGTGAAAATACGAATTACTCATCGTAACATCGAATTATTATTATTCGAATTACGTAAATCCCGAGATTTTCGAGTCTTCGAACTTTCGTTACCATCAGCGTCGCCAGTTGCAGTCACTGCATGCGAGTAATAATGTCACTGTGTATAGTACAGTGTATCGAACAAACTACAAATGAAACGAAATCGTGAAATTAATAATCTATAACCTGTCCAAGCTTTTTCAATCGATTAAGCAACGCGTCGCCCCTTTTTATTATATTTTGATAGATCAACTCTCGATCGCAGGAAACATCAGGTGCCTGTCCTCTGCTGCACCCGGCGGCGCTGATGGTAACGATCGTCCCCGCTACCTTATCGATTTTACAGTGCAATCTACCATTGGCGATGAAACGCGCCACCTCCTGCTCTATGTATTCTTCCGTCACGCCGAACTCTGTCGCCATTCTGCTCAAATTGATGGTCCTGTACGCTCGCAGTAGCTGACTGTACGCCTTTAGGCGCATCTCCCTCACGTAATAGCGACAGTGGAGGTGGAGCAGAGGATTTGCCCTGAGCTCGCGCTCTATCCAGGCGAGGTTCTCGAAGAATTCTTTGTAATGGCAATCGTGAAGGGAATAGAGGTATTCTCTATATTTGGGAGTCTCGGTGATGAGAGCCTGTTGCAGAAGGCCGTTGTTGTTGAACTGAGAGTTAAGCTCCGATCGAGACATGGAGATCATCCCCGACAGCACCGTGTACTCTACGACCTCTTTGAAAGGCAACAATTCGTAGGATTCGAAGGTGGGGATGCAATCGAGCAAAAGGCGCGCGGCGCGAGCGAAGTTCCGTATCGCCAGATAGTAAACGGTCTCGTATACTTTCAGCTTGTTGCGGCAACACCAGTTGTTGCCCGACGCGCAAGATCCTTCCATCAAGTTTGTTATCTTGACGATCGTCCGGCCCATCGAGTGGACGTTACTTTTGATATACGCTACTCTGAACAAGCCGAACGCAGCCTCGATTCTGACGCTGGACGAGTTGGTCTCGTCGTTTGTGACGGCGTTCACGATGCTCTCGGCGCGATCGAGATCGCCGGTTTCGCAAAGGAATTCGAATTTCTCTTTCCAGTTTTTTCTCTCGCTGTCCTCGAGAGCAGAGCCGTCGGAGGACTCTATCCTTTTCCAAGTGATCTCGTTCTCACGCTTCATCCTGTTCAGGAGATCTTCGTCGACTTTCCAGTCGAGCTCCTTGCACACGTCTTCGTAGTGGCGGGTCATGTTTCTCCTTTTTATGGCGTCGAGTAACTCAGCCTTTAGGCTTTCGTCGTTTCGGTACTTCTGCAAAGTCAATTTGAATCGGATTTTGATGAGTAGTATGTACTCGGGAGTTGCGCGACACAATTCTGAAATACTCATGGCTCTTACTGTTATTGCTCATTGGCACGATAAATGTTACACGACTTTCAGATACGCGGAACGACAGTTTTTTGTTTTTCAATTTGCATTGAACGCAAAGCGATTTGAACTGTCAACATATTTCCCACAATTGCGTTCGACCAATCGGCACGCGGCTGATGGTTCGACCAATCAACGCGTGTTGTTTGAAACAAGGAAAATGGCGCATTTTCGTTGCCGGCGTCGTCAAACAAGCGTCAATACGTCTCGATTCTAACCTCTTCTACAACATTTTTTCGAAATTTTTAACGCAAATTCGAATTATAAACTATGACAGAGAAATCCATCTATTCTACCAATTTACCATGGTAAAGTGTACAACCGTTTAAAACCGGATTTCAAAAGTAATCGAACAAATATAAACTTTTTTGTTTTTGTTCTTTTAGGGTAGAAAAGTATCGGCCGAAGAAACTAGACGATTTGATATCTCACGAGGAAATCATCCAAACAAGTCAGTATAAATGCCAATTCAATGATTTTACAAAAGTGTGCAACGATCGAACGTTTACTAGAGCAATATCTTTTTTTATTGCAGTAAGTAAATTCATAGATGAAAATCAACTTCCTCATCTCCTTTTCTATGGACCGCCTGGTACAGGGAAAACAAGTACAATACTTGCTTGTGCACGCAAATTGTACACGCCAGCTCAGTTTAATTCAATGGTTCGATACGCATATCATTTTTATTTTATATAACTAATGATTGTTTATACGCAATGTTCTCTTTCACGTATAGGTATTAGAAATGAATGCTTCGGACGACAGAGGTATCAATATAGTTAGAGGACAGATTCTTAGTTTTGCAAGTACAGGAACAATGTACAAGTCTGGTTTTAAATTAATCATCCTCGATGAAGCTGATGCCATGACAAAGGATGCCCAGAACGCTCTTAGGAGAAGTAAGTTACGATACAAACGATTTGCTTCAACCACGAAGGACACGTTACTATTAAAATGTTGTTTCAGTAATAGAGAAGTACACAGATAATGTAAGGTTTTGTATCATATGTAATTACCTTAGTCAGATTATTCCTGCACTTCAGTCTCGGTGCACTAAATTTAGGTTTGGCCCGTTGTCTACAGACCAGATTTTGCCAAGACTGGATACTATTATTAAGGAAGAAAAGTAAGTGTATAGATTGCAGAAGAACGTTACACGTATTAATAATATTTTATATGTCCTTTAGTTTAAATGTTTCGGAAGATGGAAAACAAGCATTGATAACATTGAGTGGAGGAGACATGAGGAAAGTTTTGAATGTTCTTCAAAGTACATGGCTTGCTTTCGGTGCAGTCACAGAAGAAAATGTTTATTCCTGTGTTGGGCACCCTCTTCCGATCGATATAAAAAACATTGTTAATTGGTTATTGAATGAATCATACGAGTTGTGTTATTGTAGTATCCTTTTCATCTAATTCCAACTTCAATTATTGACTTTCAAATTACGATTTCCTTAACGTATGTTTAGAGATACAAGACATGAAGCTGAGGAAGGGCCTGGCGTTGCAGGATATATTAACAGAACTCCATTTGTTTGTAAATAAAAGTATGCCTCTTGCTTATAAGTTTCGTAAAATATATAAGAAAGATATCAGTCTAATTGTTTCGTTCTAGTTGAATTTCCAGATTCGATACTTATCAATTTAATAATTAAACTGGCCGAAATAGAGAAGAGGATATCTATTGGCTGTAGCGAAACCGTACAATTAAATGCTCTTGTTTCAGCGTTTCAAAGCGCTCGCGATATCGAGGCTTCTTAGCGTTTGAGGAACGAATTTTATAAATCGAGGTAAAATCGAATTTAAAGCACTATATATCTATATGAAGGATTTTATACAATAAAGCTTAATCTAGCAACAATGTAATATTTATCGTTGTTACTGTGTAATAAAGAAAAGATCGATATTTTTGGACTGTAGATGTGAAGCAGCGGATTCCTCCGTGTCCACCTCGTTCTTTAATTCTCTAATAAATTACGTTCTTTCGTGAGCGGTATCAAAGTGGCGAATCTCGGAAAATAAGTTGTCAAAGTCTACGCCACAAATCAACCGAATCATCTGAGCAGTGAGCTGTTTGTGGCGCTCGTAAATTTTTATCCTAGCCCAGCCGTGTAATCTTGATCATCGATGTCTCTAGAACAGTTATAGAAAACTTATCCCGGAAATGATAAGTTTCCCTCAGAGGGTGGTACACAACTGACAGCCGTACTGTCTAGGCGTGTTGTCGGTGCAATAACTGTGTGTAGGCTATAGTTGATCGTACAAATGAAATAGTGTCTGGCAGTAGCCCGACAAATATCGCTCAATCAGCACGCGATCATTCAAGTATGCCGACGAAAACACATCCAAGGTATAAACATGCAACGTCATTATTTTTTGCGTTATATACCGTGATAGCTTTTCAAAGTATGAACTACAGATCCAGAATCATGTTTCTTAATACTTTTTCTTTTTTTTAAATAATTTCAGTAATTTTCGAAGAGAATCTCCACTCGAATAAGTAGAACTCATCGAGTGTAATTGCGTCGTTCGTCTGATTAGTTAATATAATGACAATGTCAGCACGTCAGAGAAGTTTGATGAAATTAAACGATACGAAGGAACATTAATCATTCGATTACCATTAATGAATATGTATCGAAAAACTAGTGCGGTTTTGCGTCAGCGCTCAATTTACATCGCTGTCACTTGTTAATGCGTTGTACATTATTGTTACAGCCGCGAATGGAGAGCTTGCATATATGTCGTGAGCCTGAAAGCGAGGCTAAAACCACTGAAATCATCCTAGTCCAAGTAGAATAACCCGACATTGAACCGGCATGCTATGCTACCAACCACCTTTCTTTTCTCTTTCACCATTCGTTACGGAAGTGGATACAGGTTCCTCAGTTCCAAGCTTTATTTTATAAATTTTTAGTCAGTTTATTGAAACAAACTGAAATGGAATTTGATTCTTTATTTTTTTTTTTTTTTTTTTTTTTTTTNTTTTAGATGAAATTGGAGAAACATGAATGTTTGCAGAATTGTATGTTTGTTGACTGATGTGAGTACAGATATTACATTGGAATTGCCATTTAATAATTAATAATTACAATGAAAGCATAAATTTTAACTCGATGTTTCACGGAGATTATTAATACAGATTTAGTGCTACGTCTAAACTACTGTGCAACGCCGACCTTTACATGAAGACGGATCATGCCATCGGTCAACTCCTGAAAGTCCTCTCGATTTCTTTAATTAAGTTTCTGAAATTTTGCCAAATCAGCGCTCGGCACATTTTTTTTTTTTTTTTTTTTTTCACGTCGAAACGAAAAAAAAAAAAAAAAAAAAAAAAAAGAATAGAAACGATTCCAGTGCCTGTAATTTGTATTTTGCCCATTTGTATTTTCTCCCATGCAAACTATCGAGATATTTCAACGAGGACCGACCGGTAGACTGCAGATTTATCGACGGGAAAACAAGCAGTGTACGACCATAAAGAGTAATGCGTGCGCGACGGCACGTAGCGAATTTCCGAGAATTGACCAGCTAACTTTATATTTTATATCGCCTCGCGCGAACGGGGCCGACTCGTTTCACCGGCGGATAAATTCGACCAGACGAGGTGGGCGGACGAATTGATAATTAAATAATACTCGTACTCGATATCAAATGAAACTTTCAGCTTAATAAGAACTTGCCGGGGTGAGTGCACGAGCGCCCTTGCTAGCACGTCGATTCTCCGAGTTATTTCAGCTTGAAAACTTGGCGCAGACGTGCCCTTAACTTTCTGCTTCGAAATAACTAATTCAATTAGTATATCAGTGCCGGTGGTACCCTCCCCTCCTACGTTTAACTACATCTTTGCATGGTGTATCTAATCTTCGCGCTAACTCCTGCATTGCTAATCTCTTTCGTCGGGGAATCAATTATTCTCATTACTTTTTCCCTCTGGTTCTTACTTTCTGTAATATTTGCATAATCTGTGTGATGATATTAAAGATGTAAGAATGCGAGGAAATGTGAGAATTTGTGATTGTGCCTGTCTTTGAAACCAAATGAAAAATTAAAGTTTACTCGTTAACTCTCCAAAGTGATTCACATTTGATTGAATTGGGTATCCTTCATCTTCATTGACATTACACAGTATTTTTCATGTAGAATCGTAGAAAGGTGAAAGCGTTTCTTACAATATATGTATACTCTGCGTTACGCTATTGCTAAAGTCCCCTATTATCTTCGCAGATTTCAAGCACTTGTTGTACAGAGATGTCTAGACACTCGAAGAAAGGATTCTTCATCCTCCGCCGAGTTGTGTCAATACAGAGAAGAGAAAAAAGGGGGAGGAAGAGGAAAGAAGAAAGGAACTGCGAGGGAAGGGGAAGAAGAAGGAAGTGCGAAACCACCTCTGTCGGCCATAAATCCAACCAACTCTTCTCGCAGACGTGAATTCTAACCATCTTGAACCATCCAAATGAACAGACAGTCGAACATGAGACGAGTCCTCGCACCTGTTCAAGATAATCGAGCGTCCGTGATCTCTATTCTCTTCTCGTTAAATTATATATACATGTATGTGTCGCCGAGAGCGTGCGAGTCACTCAAAAATCACGCTCAGTGCAAGGTCGACGGCATTTTTCTTCGTTCCGGTCCCGGAAAAGCGCAATAAACGTTCGCCCCGGATGAATACAAACGTTGCACGATTTTAACGTACAGCGTTGGCTGTTTGCGCGCGGCATCGATCCGCGTTGGCAGCGCGAAACGAGTAAATCTTTTTTGCGTTTCTCTTTAAACATAGAACGGAGTGGAAAAACCGAGAAAAAAAAAGGAACACCTTGCCGAGGGCGTCGATCGCGATGAAACCGGTGTGTCTGAATATTGGAACGTCGCGCGTGGAACGAACTAAACGATTCTTTTGACCGACTTGGAACGAAACTGCCCTTCGATGGCAGAAGAAGAAGAAGGTAGTTTAAGTAAAGTTTATTCCGTTCAAAGATATTTCACTGTTCGGCCGCGGTACGATATAACATTAAATATATATTGGAAAAGTGACTGTCACTTGTGCACGTTGCTCTACGAAAGTCCCTTTCACGAGTTACAAATTTTTCGTTTATCAATAATGTTTCGACCACGACGATCTCATGCTCGGCGTGTAAAGAAAAAAAAACAAAAAA